TGAATAATAAAAGGACATAGAACGCTTTTCAGGAGCCTAAACAGACAACATATGGTCCTCATGCATTTTAAGTGAGTGAGTGCCTTTACGTCGCTTTTAGTAATATCATGTCAGGTAAACTGAAATCTGCTTCACACATTGTATCCATTTGAGCACATATATTGTGACGGGAGAGTGCTTCAACCATGAGGCTTGACATTAGAACATGGTAGTGAAGACATTGAACAATGCAGTTCAGTTACGATTACGTAACAGTTAGAACAAAATATGTATCCAAGAACTAAATACATTGAATCCTAAGACGTCACATCCTATTTATCAGTATTTAAAGTACCGTATGTGGACAGTTACTAAAAATTGTCTAAAAAAAGAATAAATGATGTGTAAAGTATTTAAAAAGAGTAGCATGTTAGTCCTCAGCCAAATTACAAACCACATTATACCGTGAAAGAAGAATGAAAGCTTTGCTTGCCTTTGCGCTCGAGTATATATTCTTCAGCCATATTACAAACCAAACTATAACTTGACAGAAAATGTAATAATCATGAATTCTTCCACATTCTAGTGACAGCGCCCACTATATATACTGAATGTCAGATAGGGTATACATACTGAATGTCAATGCTACATTTAAAGTGATGTTGTTTAACCTGTTTGTCGTACATGTAACTATATGTGCTCATTTTGAAGAAACTCGATTTTGCATATAGATTTGGTCTTACGAACGTGGTAATTGCTTTGTAGCTCTTATCATTTGAAATTCCCCGCCTCAGCATGAACTAATAGATTAGATTTTTTTGGGATTTTTTTTAATGCTGCACTCAGCAATTTTCCAACTAAATGCCGGAGGTCTGTAAATAATTGAGTCTGGGACAGACGACTCAAGGATAGACACAATGAGCATCGATCTAAGCTTCGTTTGCTTGAGGTGGTGGTTGTAGAAAATCTCCGTATCACGTATTGGAAATGATTCGGCAGGGACAAAGCATTTGTCAGATCCATATGTTTGTTCTTCAGAAAGTACTGGAAATCTTTAAAACATTTCTGATATTTTCCTTCATGTGTTGTACTTGTGCTACGAGATTGATTCCAGTTATGATTTGGCTGGCACTTTCATAGATCATTCTCGTGACCTATCTACATTTTCGAGGGAGAGTACTAAAATTCTAACAATTTAGTTGTTGCGAACCAGATCTGGGAAGGAACGCTCGATGCGGTACATGTGTTAGACGTTCACCACATAGGTGTAACATTACATCCTACCTGCCGGAACAACATTACCTTCACATGTTAAACCCTACGCTTCAAAAGGCAGATGATATCTGCACTTTATGTCATGGGTATTCACGGAATGTGTATGTATGTGTGTGTGTGTGTGTGCGTGCGTGCGTGCGTGCGTGCGTGTCTGTGTGTCTGTGTGTATATATATTAGTGTGTCTAAGACGATAGTCTGTGTCTGTGTATATATATTAGTGGTCAGGTTGTCAAGATACATAGACTAAGACGATAGTCCACTTGTGAAAACACAGATATGGGAGCCGGGTTGTCATGACACTTGCACTGAATTGACAGCCAGGTTGGCAAGATACATACACTGAAATGTGAGTCGGGTTGCCATGATACTTGCACTGAATTGACAGCCAGGTTGCCAAGATACATACACTGAAATGTGAGTCGGGTTGCCACGATACTTGCACTGAATTGACAGCCAGGTTGCCAAGATACATACACTGAAATGTGAGACGGGTTGCCACGATACTTGCGCTGAATTGACAGCCAGGTTGCCAAGATACATACACTGAAATTAGGATTGCTGATCATACACAGCTACAGTGGAGTGTTGCTCTCCTTTCAAAATGTGGTGTGAGACTAATTTTATACCGAGGAATATTTTTCATTTCTCAGTTGCCTTCAGTGATGCATATGACTACACTCTAACATGTTCTGTCAAATATAGCATATACACATCGAAATAATGTGGCAATGAAACAAACCCATTGCTTATTATAGTTGATTAATAGTCATCTTCACCGCATATTATGGCATACGGGGTATGCTAAATGGATTGATAGATACGATCTTGCCATTGATACTTCTTAACTACTAAATCTGTTAACTTTCACAATGTCTTCAATAATGCTCACGTGCAGTTCACACCATACATTGAAATTACGGAAATAGCGTCTGATGTAAGAAGCAGTCAAATATCTACACAGTCACCACAGTGACTTTCCTTCTGTACGAAAGCGGTGTTTTGTTCCTGACATCGATACATTAAAATTGCGAAATTAGCGTCTGATGTAAGAAGCAGTCAAGTATCGTCAGCTTCTCTTTCCACACCCACTGTGTACTAAGACACAGTTTAAACTTCCTGGTATTTGGACAGGTAGCGTTGGGAGTCTCCATGCGCTCTCAATATGTAAGGTTTGAAGTTATTATTATGAGGTCATTAGACATTCATAAAGAAAGTGCCTAAACTGACAAATTCTTCGGGGTTTTTTTTATATAAGGTTGCCTAAAACAGTTAAAACGCAAAACCTAAATTATCCATAGACATTTAATCAAATTAGTGTATGCTTTATGTATGCTTTGATCTTATTTAACTCATGCTCTATTAATTAATTTCCATTTTGTGTTTAGATTGATTAATAAACGTATAAAGTTTATACACAACATAAATAGTGACCCCGGTTTAGTTTGGCAATGTATTTGTATCACAGCCGTTAAAAAGGAAATGTTTCAGACAAACAATACATAACAAGAATTGTTATCACGTACATAAGTCGCTGGATGTAACACATATATGGGCATTTTAACTGTCAACACAAAAATGTTCCCAATTCCGATACTGCCAATCCATCTTGATCACGCAGAATTGTGCTGTGTTTGGTGGATGACGGGTGCTACTATGGCTGAATGGCGAACTCCGGAAACTGCAACTATCTGGCTGTACACAGTTTTTGAACTTCCACCTCAGTGTATAAATTGTGAGGGTCGTGTTGCACGAGACATTGTTTACCACGTAGCGTCCCGGGGCCTAGTTCAGTCAAGGAGGACATACGTCCTGACACTGACTCACATCTATTTTTACAGTGCAAGACTTACAGAGGCATTAGGAAACAACGATATCGCTTGCATTGGAAAGTGGTTGGTTTCATGAATACATTTAGAATATACAACGAATCAAGTACAGTTCCATACCTTTCGTATATAATTCCAGAATAATTACAAGATAGTGTTTTAATGTATAATTCCACATGATTAACTGTACGGAACACGCTCCTTTTGAGTGGCTTCTAGCAGTTTCAATACCAGTATTAAAAAAGGTGAAAAGGTCAAAATGATAAAATAAAAAATGGGTTACATGAGACCGTCATGCCATAACACAGGTTACCCGATACATGCACGGTGCGATTCTGATATGTTCAAGTACAGATAATAACACGGATAATTATTCAAAGCCGTTCTTACATCCTCTTCCGACGTCTAGGTTATACACCGTTGCTCATGAACCGTGGGCAAATAGTACTGAGCAAGTATGAAAGGGAGAGAGTTATGTTCGCAAGGCAGGTAAACATGCATGCTTACGAAAAAAAAGATACGTGTCAATTACTTCCTATTCCGATGTCTCGTTTAATACACATTTGCCCATGAAACGTTTACTGTACACAGTTATTGAACTTTCACTTGTGTCCATGAACTGTGAGGACAATTGTGCCCGCGTTCCTGTTGACAGCTCCCATTATCCGTTAGGCTGTCATACTGTTTCACCCTGCTTGTACGACCGTCCCTTGGACGCGTTATCGACTCACTGGGTTATGCTGACCCGTGTCTGAGTGAGCTGGGCTATGTATACATATAGAACATAATCTGACAGGTACATGTGTACTCTTAAAATGCTCGCTTAAAATACATACTCTCAGAGGTCAGTCGGACCTGGTTTTCAAGTTTACTGAAATCTCATACGTCTAAAACCCCTTCCGACGTCTGGCACCCACCAGGATGTGATATAATTTGTAGTGTGTAGAGGTCCTAAATATTTTGTGAACATGCTGACTCGGATTATATGAGTTTGTAAAATGGAGTACATAGCTCTTAAAGACTCTTTATACCTCGCGAGGCGGTGGGGTAGCCTAGTGGTTTAAGCGTTCGCTTGTCACACCGATTGTGTGAAATCAATTTCTGCTGGAATATTGCTAAAGACGGCGTGAAGCTAAACTCACTCATTTATTCACTTTATACCAAGTACATTTCTCCTACCATAATAGGAGAGCAGTGACTTTAAGAAAAGTGGCCAAATTAAGGATTTTAATGCCCCCCATCTCTTGTATGGACATAAGGAGTCTTTTATAAATACTATCAAAATACGTGGGCATGGACATCCTTTTTCGAAACATATGATCACTTTACCTTGATTACTTAAATATTTGAAAACCTTTCTCAGAAATATGATATTCGCAATTGCAATGAATGATACTGGAGCGTACAAACAAACAATATGTTTACACAGCAGTCCTTTGTCGACAATCAAAAGACGCCAAACATAACATGGAAAATAAGAAATTAGTTGGACATATTGTCCTGAAATTGTTTGATATGAGTAGACTTAGGATATAAGTATGTGGTTTACTGTAAGTCTCCAGGACCCAAGAGAATTAATAAGAGAAGTCCAACCCAAGTCTAGAATTGGGTACGTACGTACCTCAGGCATTATTTAGGATTGCTTTCAGATTTTGATTACGGCACACTGATCTGCGCATACTTACCTCGTCTCTTGCCGAGTTACAAAATGACCCTCAAAATGAACTAGTTTCAGACCTTTGTACGACCCCTATGACTAAGCCGTTAGCAACACTTATATTCACAGCCGAGGGGAGCTGCGCCATACACGGCACAATCGCGGGTGACTTCAGGTTTGAGCTGGGGAGTATTGTGGCAGCTTGGGGTAGTTAACAAAAAACATCCCTTTAACATGGAGATCTTGGGCCTTGTGGACGTCCCGTTGTATGTCCTTCTAGCCCTGGCGGTGGCCGTGCTGATCTATATGTGAGTAGACAATACATGTATTACTTTAGGTGGACCACTTATCTCGAGACAAGTTGCATGTATTGTAATTAGTTCAGATTGCTCGGACGAGGCATTGATAAAATCAGTCGCATGATTTGAGCTCTGGTCAATTATATATTTAGAACTGACACAACAAGTGCCCCGTTAATGGAGGAACAGAAGTAAACACGTCTGTGTACACTAGGTGTGTATTGTGTGTACATTTTAAGGTACACTTGTGCTGGGATTGTATACCGCCTTGAATAGTACTTGAGATATATCACGGCACTGGATGTATATTACCAACAGACCACGAAACACAACAACGGCAATATAGGCTCGCTAGTGTTTACACTCCATTGATAAAGGGATCATCTACGTAGATGAAATTAGCATCCACATTGATTTATTTAGAAGATAGTAGAAAAACGCTTCCATGGAAATACATGTCATTTATGAGTTTGCCTAAAGTGTGAATGTGCCTTGAATTGTAGACACAATCGTGAAGAGTCTCCCTGATATCACGCATACGATGTTTGAATACAATTGTAAAGTGCTTATTTTGACCAATGTTTCCAAACTCTAAAGAACGCTTCACAGTTGGCCCTCGTGCAATACAATGATGTTTATTTTTCAGACATGGAACCTGGAACTTCAATTACTTCAGAAAACAGGGCATCCCTGGACCAACACCGTTCCCTCTTTTGGGAAACAGCCTCTCATTTGTAGGTTAAGTTAATTATTTGCTATCAGATTGATTTATGATCATATATATATGTGAAATATATCTTCGATTGAATGACCAGATGTAAAGGAGGTTATTTTTCTGCAGGAAATGATGATATCTGTGTGTATATAATATGAACAGAAGCAAAGCCAAACCTATCACGTGTGGGAAACCATACTCAGGCCATATACCCATCTGAATATGAATGTCGTCTTGCCTTTGTACATAGTACAAAATACATACAGGATATTATAATAAATGAATGAATGAATGAATGTGTTTATTTCCTCCAGAGTTGAATCCGAAGATCATACAAAGGCAAATACATTATTTACAAGGCATCACTTGCAATAAACATAATGAAACAACATTCGTAGCAAAATGGAAGCATATGTTAGACTGCTCATTAAATTTACAATGTACAATTTGTGAGCAGTAGGGAGGTTCTGTTTAGTAGATGTACATGAGATGTTTTTTTAGATTCCATACGAATTGAGAAAATGACAGTATTATGTATTCCCATGTAACATAGTCAATTGTTTTAGTTAAGTCATGTATATCTCCGCCGAGAAAGAGTGACAGCATCTCATCGTCGTCAAGCATATCTATTTTCACATATATATCAACATCAAGTTTATCAGTCAGACAGGAGAAGAAATTATTTTCTGATTTTCAGTGATTAATTCATATAATTTTCGCGACCAATATTTCATTTACACCAAACGTAATTTGTTTCCGATTATAGCCAACTAGATATTCTACTGCAATGTCATTCTATATTTAAATAGTTTCAGCAACAGGCAACCAGTCCAGACGGAAATGTTGATCATGTGTGGCACTGACATGCTAGAAGGAGCATTAGAGACATAGACGTGTTGGGAAGTGTACCACTGAGATGGCATATGTGTCAAACATATGTGAGGGCTATGAAATTGTTGATAGTTAATGTGTCAAAAACCATGGTAGGAACAAATCCATGAAGCCTGCTGTTGTGATTTACAGTCTTTGAAACCAACTTGACAAGAATGAAAATCACAAAGCGGATAACAGGCTGAAATCTCGACATGACTTTGTGGATTTTGCATATCACACCAGTCTGTGCCCTCTTTCCAGCGTACACGATCCTGTGTGTATATTATGGCTGGTTGACGAACTCCGGAAACTGCAACTATCGGACTGTACACAGTTTTTGAACTTCCACCTCAATGTATAATATATATTGTGTTCATTACCGAAGTCGTCAAATTGAGGAAAATAACCCTAAATCAACTTTCGAACATACGCTGGCTACCCGCCGTCGCCATATGTAGACCGCAACGTCACAGAAGAAACGTGACGTAATAGCATTGTTCATGACGTCACGTCACCATGACCGATATTTTCGCCCTCGTAGGTAATAAATATGCATATGATTGTCTCTCCTTATTAACATCTGTTGATTTAATACTGCAGTCCATGGCACCATTTTTCAGAAATGACAGAATGCAGACGCCTATTTTATCTATTTTACAGTCTTTCTTCCACAAATTCAAGAATGGAACCGACAGTACGGAAATGTATATGGGTAGGTTCATCTCGTAAACTTATTGATTTGACTTATTGGGTGATCTGGACACCAGAATCAGCATCCTGTTCCACGACAATCGGAAAAAATGCTCGAAGGTACTGGTATGGTCATGCCGAAAAATACCTTCCTAGATTTTAAAAATGAGGAGTACATCCTTGACATTGAAACACTGTTTTTAGCGTTTGGCAGTATTTTAGAAAGATGCTAGCATGTTGGTTTAGTGTGTGAGATCACCCCAACGTAATGTCGACCTCAGGCGTTTAAAATGTAGGTAAAAATTCACGATCATGTGCACAGTGCTTATAAACCACAAATTACAATCAGGATCTATCTGGGATTCACACCAACAGAATAGGACCTTTATTCATTCATTGAGGGTTCTCTGAGATCAGGTAATACACAGGTAACATGTGGCTATATGTTGATGTTTACATAGTGTACAGATTTTAAAGGCGTTTCTTGAAATACATAAAATATTTACAATCTTACTTACAGATTTAAAAGGTCATAATACCTAATTTAAAAAGGGAACACACTTTGTTAAAGTTGAGGATTTTGGAATTGCAAAGAATTACCCAATATATGTATAAAAAGCAAGACACTCTGTACGTGATTTTATTTTGAATGTAATGTTACGTTTTCTCATACCATGTTGTTTCTTGACCTAAGGATATTTATGGGAAGAACGCCAGCCTATGTTATATCGGATCTGGACATTCTGAAGGAGGTGTTTGTCAAGAGCTTCAGCACTTTCAGAAACAGGATGGTAAACAATACTTTCCAATATCTTACCCATTTTTACATTACCGCGGAGGCAATTACGTTATTATTGTAAAGGACAAGCATGGAAAAATATCTCTCTGAATACATGTTATTTTAAAACAGATATTCGAACGCACGATGATGGTGAGAGTATTACAACTGAATGTTTCATACATGTCTTTTATAAACCTTACTGTTCAATATGTTTCCAGAAAGTCTCACTCGTGCCCTACCCATTCAGTTTGGGTGTGTTTTTCTTGGACGATGAGCACTGGCGGAGGGTGAGAAGCATCATAACACCGAGCTTCAGCAGCGGCAAACTGAGGAAGGTGAGACACTGTAGTCCTTACTGTTGGGTAGATATCCCACGTAGAGATTCCGGATTAGAAAACGTAACCATCTCCCTTTGCCTGTTGTGCGAGGTTACGTACGTAAGTTATCGAATTTATCAGACACGTTCTTCTTTGTTGTCGTACTGGACTGAGGACTAAACAAACATGTCACACTATACTAATAGTAAGAGTCCGCTTATATGGCGCTCATATCCAGGCACATTGCCTGCTCACGGCATAGGACACTATCGTACTTTCCGATACTTTTTCAACTCCCTGGGGACCATACAGCCATGCTGCCTGTTAGGCGCAATGAGCTGAACACTCACATTGCCAGCACATCCTCACGGGTACCCATTTTACAGCTGGGTGAACTGAGACAATGTGGATATAAGTATCTTGTCCAAGGATACTACGCAAATGTGCCCACCTTGGGACCCGAACCTAGGTGCCTCCACCGGGGATCGAACCCGGGCCTTCAGCGTGATAGGCAGACGCCTTACCACTGCACTACTGCGCTCCACTGCGCTCATACTATCACTGATCTGACGCGAACCTGACCTTTTGCCCATAGGTGTATTATATATACAATTTACATACATGTTGTGTCTGTCTGACTTAATACATTCTATATATGGTCCGGTTTTACAATACTACGACCAGTCTGTAGGTATATGGGTTATCACTTTGGATTCTAGATGTGCGCTGCCATCAACGATTGCTCAAGGACTCTCACAACTAACTTCTCTACAGTCATTGGGAAAAAGGAAGGGGTGATCGTGAAAGAGTAAGTATTGCGTTGTCATGTCGAACTGTACTATATGTTCGACAAAATGCGAAGGAATAGATATGTTTTCCCTCGAGTATCACATTTTCAATAACAGATTAATATTGCAAGCTTTTTTATTCGGGATTTTTCTTGGAAGTGCATACATGTTTCTACCTCAATGCGAACAGCCGTGCAAACGAATAAACCATTCAGTTTTCATCTTGAATCTATGTACGCCACTTCATCCACGTTGTTAAACTATAAGTACTTGTTGCAGAACATGGACTTGGTAGTTTATGATGTAACATGTTGCTGTCCGATCTTGTATTTCTCTCGTTAAAAAACAACACATAAATGTGTTGCAATATTTTTCAGCTACTTTGGAGCTTACACCATGGACGTGATTTCACGAACTGCCTTTGGTATCACAGTCGATTCTCAGAACGATTTCAACAATGAATTTGTCGCTAATGCTAAGATGATGTTTACACAATCAAAGCCAAGACGACTACTACCAATGATAGCACGTACGTTGCATACTTCTTACAGATATGTCTCTTCCTTCAACAACCTTGTCTATTAATTCTACTGTTTGAATTTTGGGCACTTGGAAAGTATATTTGACAAGTGACAAGTTTATGCTATGTAGAGGCCTTAAGGCCAAGATCACATACATATACAAAATAATGGTTGCGCATACAAACAGTTTTGGATACATAATTAAGTAGGTAGGTTTCTCTTAAGGAATATAGCAAGGTTTGTTAACATGTTTCACATAACGTGATGACATGAGTTGATATAACTTATTCTTAGAGGGAAAGGTGTGAAAGAAACAGGGTATAAGCTGCTCCATCCAACTTTTATAACATGGACTCACTAAGATCAGGTGGAATTCATCTTCTATAATATTCATGTTACATTTAGAACAAATAAGTTGATTACATTCAATGTCCTTATCATATCTCAATTTACTCACTTTTAACTTATTAGACTGGAAACGTAGTGTGCAGTGTATACAGAGTAAATCTTTGTGGCTGAACAATTCTATTACGTATTTCTCGGTATCTAACAGAGATTTAAAGTAAAATGAGACAGCTTATCATGTCATTCTGGAAATTGAATGTCTACACATCTTTGGGTAAACATACTCATAAATAGTTGATAATCACTAAGATCCTGTGCAATCCAGACATAGGAATATCCTGCTGAAATTAAAAGTCTGCGAAGTCAAGTTACCCAATTTATCTTTCCATCATTATCAAAGATCTTTAACTGATCATATCAAGCTTTGGGATACCGCCCTGAATGCGTACCTAAAAGTCTGCTCCAGTAGCTTACACAGCGACTAAAAAATATGTTTTACACAAACTAGATGCCTCCCTACATCCCCTAGCACTATACCAGTTGCGGTGAATGTGGATACATTTAAACATCGTTTGAAAAACAGACTGTGTACTCTTTCAATATTACCTCTGTACGAAAACCCCCATATTTCAGCCCCGTACAATAGAATATGCATTATCTTTGTATCAAATATTTGTACAGCTACTTTAAATGGAAGAGCAGGAAATACTTTCATCAATTTGTTAATAGGAAATATTAAAATATAGCAAAACAGCAAATATATTTGTTTTTAACGAGAGGGTATGGGATATACACTTAAAACGATATATGTTTTTATCATGAGGCTATGTGCTATGTTTCTATAACGATATCTGTTTTAACACGGGGATAGTGGATATGCACGTATGATGATATCATATTTCAACACGAGGGTATGGAATATGCACTTACATCAATATCTGTTTTCAGCACGACGGTATTATATATAGGGTATGCACTTATAACAGTATCTATGTTAACGCAAAGGTAGTGGATGTGCTCCTATGATGATGTCTATTTTTAACACGATGGGTGTTAGGTTTGATAACTGTTATAAGTGACAGAGCAAACACTGCCACATTTTATGCAAGTGTTTTAACTGATAAAATGCTAGAAATCTGTGAAAATGTGTAACAGTACTTTTAAACTATAATTTGACTTGCATCAAAAGCATGTAGACATCTTTCTGGCTCTTTTGGATTTCCTACATAAAAAAGACCCCATACAAGGAGAGATATATTACTGGGAGCATCCATGTAGCACCAAATCCCCGTCTCTAGATATCGACAGAACTGTGCAAGTTGTTGGGCTTATAGTACATATGTCTCACGATTAAGGAAAGTGTTTTGTCGCTGATATTTCGACCTAAACATTATTTCGGGATCCCACATTATTCTTTTGTTGTTTTTTTTTGTACCATATTGTTTTATATGACACATTTTTCCATATGACGGTGGTTTATAAATAATCGCGTCTGGGCCAGACAAGTCAGTGACTGACATCATGAGCATCGATATACACAGCTGGGAAACGATGGCATACGTGAATCGAGACCACCCGATCCCGTCAGTCGCCTTTAACGGCAAGACTGGTTTGCTGAAAACCCTGATCTCCACGCGGTCACCTCCAACACTAAGCTGCCACGTCGGCATAAATAGTTTCCAGGTCCACAATCGTTGAAACAGAATTCATTCGTTTTTATCCTTTACAGGCTTCTTTCCACCATTGGTGTGGGTTATCCGGAAGATTGGAGTTGGAGTATTTCCAAGTAGAGCCATACGCTTTTTTCAAGCCAACATCTTGGAAATGATCAAACAACGAGAGAACGAATCAAAGGAAAATCGAGAGGTATGATATAACTGTCGAACGCTGGGTGTTTGTTGTGGTTTATTTCTCATAACGTGTGTTGATATACAGGTGTGCAAATAAAACTTCTTCTTTTTTTAACCCGGAACCTAAACATTTCTGTTTTGGTCATGTGTCGTAGCCGTGAAGTACGATAAAGCATATCTGGTAAAACAGTGAACCATTTGTTTACACAGTTTGTCAGTTATCTATATCGTTAGGACACGAGATAAAAGAATCGGTAAGTAAATAGAAGCAGCCATAAAATGTTTGAAAAGACAATTTCCACGACGTTAATACATATATGTAAAATATCTCCAGCTTTGGACTTTCTAATAGTGTGTCATTATTATCCAGTGATTCTAATCTACATTCTGCTTGTCTTGGTTACCGCATATTGGTACCATTATCCATTAATTCAAACCTATATTAGATTTACAAACATCAATTGATACACATTCTTTTATAAGACTCACACAAGAAAGGATGTCGTATTTACAGCAGAGAATCGACTTCCTGCAACTCTTGGTGGACGCTGAGATAACGGATGATAAAGTTAAACAAGAAAACGGTGACACAGCCAATGGTCAGGTCTCAGAGGAACATACAGCCAGACGTGAGTACAGAAACACCTCTGAGTCTGCTCAGTGTTAACATGGCTTTGAACAGTATGTCACTCATGTGGCGGGCAGTGACTCGTGCTTGAGTTGGATGTACAACACTAAATATTGATACCATAAAATTGCAAGTTTGTAAGAACCCTATGAAATCAGTACATACCAAATAAATTCGACCTTCAGTACAACACTTTATTCGCAGTATGACAACCACAGACTATCAAGACATATAAATCTATTTTGTTATACTTCAAATATGTCTTCAAGAGCAGAAACGGATTGAAATGAAATGTGAATATTTTGTTGAAGTGAGTGAGAGTGAGTGAGTGAGTTTAGTTTTACGCCGCACTCAGCAATATTCCAGCTATATGGCGGCGGTCTGTAAATAATCGAGTCTGGATCAGACAATCCAGTGATCAAGAGCATGATCATCGATATTGGGAACCGATGATATGTGTCAACCACCCGATCCCGTTAGTCGCCTCTTACGACAAGCATGGGTTACTGAAGGCTCATTCTAACCTGGACCTTCACGGGTCATTTGGTTAAATTGATCCTATACAGTACCATATGCACTTCATGTATATAGGCCTATGACCTTTCATACAATAAACATTTTAACTTGAAATTTGATATTGCATATCATCATCACAACGTGATGCGGAGTCGATTGTTCACTGGCTGGGTCAACATTATGCCTGTGATGTAGCTGAGCGAGGCGTTCAGTGTCTGATAGAAACTCTGTGTCCACTGTAAGGTTACTTTTACAGGTTTAACAGCGGATGAAATTGTTGGCCAAGGGATATTGTTCTTCATTGCTGGATACGAAACAACGGCTTCCACACTGAACTTTGCATCGTACAATCTAGCAATGAACCCGGATGCACAGGAGAAAGCATATAATGAAATCAAAGAGATGCTTGGGAATGTCAGTATGAACGCTTGGGCGCTTTGATACGTTCACACTTAACCTTATGATATAACGAGCAAACCCACTCTAGAGGGATTCATTCGGAAACATTATTGTTATTGTCAAGTGAAAACACAATTGTAAATATGATATCGAAGTGACGATTTCTCCTGATATAGTAAAAAGCTAAGATAGTCTCAAGGGATTTGAGATTTATGAAATGTTCGTGTTCTTCTCGCAAGATTGCAATGTGGGGTTTATGGTCGTGTTATCTCATGAAACAACACGATGATAGGAACACATGTTCAGAAACAGAAGAAACAATGTTAAAAGAAATTCTGCCTGAAGCTCTCGATGAATCTGGTACATAAGGTAACAGTCAGTAGCAGATATAGTCTTTTTTTCTCTATCATAGGAGGAACCAAACCACGACAACATAGGGAGACTGAAGTATCTGGACAACGTCATTACTGAGACGCTCAGACTCTTCCCACCAGTTATTGCGTAAGTTAAGCCCAGTCGTGACAGGTGCCATTTGTGTTGGATATCTACACCACACAAGTGACAATGAGGGAAATATGTTGACTGTAGTCGTCTTAAAGTATGTAAGATGGTCAAATAAAGTATGCCTATTTACACACGAGGAGAATTAACGGTGTGCAGTAAACGCAAGATGGGGTATTGTTTTGTAAGGGGGTGTTCCAGTCTATCATGCACTTATGCGTCACTTTCATATTCGTCCAATGGAAAACCTGTATATTGTGTGAAGTTTACATTAAAACAATATTCAGAATTGACTGTCCATTTTCAGATTGCATCGCAGAGCTTCTGAGAATATTCAGATCAAGGACCTGACAATCTATGAGGGTCAAACTGTCTTCGTTCCTACGCTTGCACTACAGAGAGACCCTAAGCTCTTCAAGGACCCAGATTCCTTCAAGCCTGAAAGGTAATGTCACCCGTCAAACGTATCTAATGGTACTGCTGTAGTAACTCAATCCACGCATAGACCAAGCATGTGCTCACCCATTCTCTCACTTCCAATGTGACATGGCATACATTCACATATGCACACACCGACGCTGTTCACAGTTTATGTCGGATCTTTAAAATACCCCCTCTCTAAGATCAGTGTGGTTCAACACATACCCTTTTTTAGCTTAATGTGCTGTGTTTCAATTCAGACCGAGACTGAAACACTGAATACCAATTTCATTTATTTGATTGCAAAATAAGTGACGTTAACAACAACAAAAATTAAGATTATGTATTTTCATTTCAACACACATTCTGTGTCATATATAACTGAAGATATTTCATCAACGCAGTCTACTTGTTATTCAATATCTTATTTACTGTGATATTTTTCAGACACGATGAAAAATCCAACCCACTGTCCTTCCTGTCGTTCGGATACGGTCCAAGAATCTGTATTGGGATGCGTCTGGCGCTGGTTGAGGCTAAAATAGCCCTGGTTAATGTTCTGAGAGCTGTGAAGTTTGAACGTATGCCGGACACACAGGTATAAGTATTTCTATAGTCGTCATCTTCTGGAAACGTTTGTTTGCGTGCTATGTGGTAGTATGTTCCAGATGAGTGTACTTAGTCTGTTCGTCATGTTTTACGTACCTAGTCTGTTCATCACGATGTACGTACCTAATCTGTTCATCATGATGGAAGCACCTAATCTGTTCATCACGATGTACGCACCTAGTCTGATTATCATAATGGACCTACCTACCCCAGCGTCATGTTGTCCTGCTCATGAAATGATACGCCTCTGTGGCACAGTCATAACATTAAGTAGTCAATAATTGATTTTGACAACGATGTTCATGATAATACACTTTCTTCAGAATTACGCGCCTACATGTAAAAATCATCAGAAATATATACATGAACCTTTGTTTACAGGAAGTATTGACGTTTATTGAGTCCGGCATTCTTCAAACAGAAAAGGACATCAAGCTGAAAATATCTCCAAGATGCTGAGTTAGAGGAAGAGGCACCTGCAGTTTCTCTTTTTGTGCCAGAAACCTATACACATGATCGTCTGAAAACTGCATCTTTTGGGTTTTTCTTGTTTGAAAACTTTCTCAAATACCTTTGTTGTTATCAGTAATCAGCAGAAATTGTCATATTTCAATAATTTATTCTTTTTCTTGACATTTGACTGTCAGCGATTGTGGTGTTGAAAAACGATTTTCTGAATCGACGTTGACCATACATCAGTAATGGAAGAAGTAGAAGATGCAGAGAGGCAGACCGACAGACCGACCGACGGACAGACAGACAGACAATGGGTTGTTCCAACTGATCTGTCTCCTTTTGAATGAGATGTGCTTTGTTGTATGTATTGTACGCATAGTATACATTGCATTGGGGAAAGTTTTAAAAGTTCTGGAACAAACTGTTGGTTGAACTGATAGTTAAAGCTACATATTGGGTACATACAGGAAATATGTATATTCCCAGAAAGTTTATGCTGAAAAGTAATTTCTTATAAAGCACAAGTTTGTGTTGTGAAATTAGAACATGGTAGTGAAGACATTGATCAGGGCAGTTCAGCTTCGACGATGAACCTGTTAGAACAAAATATATACCCCAGAACTAAATACATTGAATAATAAATTATGAAGCTCAGGCGTGATTGTGACACTTGATGTCAACTGGCGTCATATCTCATTTGTCCGTATTGCCAGTGCCGTCTGTGAAATACAAATTGCCACAGTATCATAAAGAATAAATGCTCTGTAGAGTATTTAAAAGGAGTAGTGTAACAGGCATCAGCCAAATTACAAACCACAGTATTACTTGAAAGAATAATGAAAGCTTTGTTTGTCTTTGCGTTCGAGTATATATGCTTCAGCCACATTATAAACCAAATCATATCTTGACAGAAAATGTAATAAACATAATTTCTTGCACATTCTAAGGTCAGTGTATGTATACTGAATGCCAGACACATACTGAACGTCAATGCTACATTTAAACTGCATTTGTTTAACGTGTTCATCGAATATGTAACTATATGTGCTTAATTTGAATAAACGCGATTTTGCGCTTAGAATATATTTGTTCTGAATGTGGAAATTGCTTTGTTGCTCTCATTCCCTTTGTCAATTTCAACTAAACAATAAGTGCACTGAACACAGAGTATTCAAATATTTGTATTGAAACGGCTCGTCTCAGCATGCACTTATAAGTTAGATTTTGTTTGTTTGTTTGTTGTTTAATGCAGCAATGTTCCAACTATGTGACGGCTGTAATTGAGTCTGAATCAGACAGTCCAGTGATTAGCATCATGAGCATCGATCTACACTTCGGTTGGGTGAGGTAGTGGTTGTAGAAAATCTCCCAATCACAGGTATGGACTCGCTGTTTGGGACTGATTCGGCAGGGAGAGTCCAGTGTTGTCACTTGTGCTACGCCTAGGTAATTTCTTCTGGGATTGATTCCTATTATCATTTGGCTGGCGCTTTCATGGATCATTCTCATGACCCTTCTAAATTTTCAAGAGTGCTGAAAATTCCAACAGTTTATATTAGTTGTTGAGGAACCACCTCGAGACAGGGAGCAGTTGGTTAAGCTATGTTGAGAAAATAGAGAACTCAACGTTCTATCGAATAGGGCGCTCTTTTGAGAACAAGCTGGTAAGGTTCCAGTCAAGGATAACAGTCATCAGATGTACCTGCGAATAATGAATGGATGTTATTTTTTGCAGATATAATGTATTTAATTTAACATCTACGAATAGTTTCAGAGTTTTCAAAAATAGAACATTATTTCAGAGTGGTTCATAGACACATGTTCACGTAATAGTCAGAATAGTACAATCGATTTTGTTCTTAGCAGTGATTTTCTTAGGCTTGCGGAAAGCGTGTGTAGCTTTTAGTCACCTGCCGATAAAAGTTAAGTACCTCTCAAATCAGTTATTGAAATGGTGTATACGTATCTGTCTGGCAATTAGGTCATACTGACATCAGTTGCAAATCACTGTAAATCCTTGATTAAAGAAACGTGTTACTTCGGCAGGAAAATACGAAACCGAAATAACATGGGCATAATAGAAACCATCAAAACCTGCTCATAACAAGGCTTCCGCACGAAAGCAGTACTCTATGTCGATATTGTTTGTGTGGAACTGGTGGATATCTAGATGGAATATGGTAGATGAGAGACATTGTAGGTGCTCCTCAGGTGGATGACCAGTGATGATTCTCAACAGTTTGATTCTGCATTCGAACACGAAGTGCACAGATCGACGAGAATGTTACCTTGACATGACCCATCCGACACAGTTATATGAACATTTTGTTAAATCTTGAGCAAAGTAATGTTTGCTAGTGGTTAACAAAGCTTTAAATGGTATTTCTGTTGGAACACATCGAGATAGCTCGCTACAGAAGGAACGTTCGATGCGATGCGGGTGTTAGACGTTCACCACCTAGGTGAAGCATTTTCATCTGAATGCCGGGACAACATTACCGTCACATGTTTAGACCCACGCTTCAACAATGTCTCATCCAACCCTGGAAAAGAAACGATTTTCCAAAATCATAATGATATCTGCGCTGTATGCTATGGGATTCCACGGAAAAGACGTGACTCTGCCTTATCAGGAGCCAGTCTGTCAAGATATCTATATGAAATGGGTGTCAGGTTGTCAGAATGCATATACACCGAAATGAAAGTCAAGTTGTCAAGATATATACACTGAATTGGGCTTCAGGTTTTCAAGAGACTTTTACTGAACTGGGAGTCAAGTTGTCAAGATACACACGTTTTAATCAAGTAGCTTAAAGCAATTTAAATGCAATACCTAATTTATCCATACACATTGACCTTTTCACCCATGACTTTTTGCACGAAAACATTCAGTGTTAGTTTTTAATCAAATTAAATTAATAATTTACAGAGACTGCCCAACACCTTGTCAGCGGTTACCCTGCCTTAGCACAAATAGCATATCTTAAAAGACATGATGACATGGCTCGTTGCTTCTACTACTGTCTTCGTCATGCCTGTGGCTTCGACTCCGAGGTCCATCCATGGTACGACCCTGACCAATCATCCTTTCAAATTCCGTGGAATAGGCCCATATACAGCCTCAGAAGAATCCCAGCCTACAAACCTGATCTTGTCCTTTTTGATAAAACCAATGAATTGATTTATATCATTGAATCTTCTGTCCAGTTTGACAGCAACGTGATTGGCAAGATTCAGGAAAAGCATTCAAAATATGCGGACCTCGCCATTGCAATGTATCGCTGGGATCCCAAGTACACTGTTGTCAGGCTCCCCGTTGTTCTCGGTGCCCTTGGTTTGGTACCTCTTGATCTACGTCAAGAAATCAGGAGAGTGCCCGGGTTCTCCACCGGAAGCACAGACCTTCTGACACTCTGGGTAATGCAGAAGGCTGCAGTGTTGTGGAGTCTACATATTCTCCGGAAAGTTCTTGGGTTCGACTAGGTAGCATTTCCTGTTCCAGGATCACCCGAACCCTCTCTTCTGCATTTATATCTGCAAAATATAAACAATATCCATAAGCGTCATAAAATACTTCAGTTATTGTTTTTGAATTGATCTATGTTTTGATCTTATTACACACATTCTGTATAAACTTATATCCATTTTCTGTTTAGATTGTTTAATAAACGTATACATTTGCGCAAACATTGCGCCTCCCGATTTAGTTTAGCAAAGCATTTAAATCACAGCACTTAAAAGGAAAAGTTCCAGACATATAATGCATAAAAAGAACTGTCATCAAGTACATACGTCACTGGATGTGACACATTTTTACTGTCAACACAAAATTGTTACGTGTTCCAAATTCAGATCCTGCCAATTCATCTTGATAATTGACACAGAATTGTGAAACTGATGTTCTGTGTTTCATTCGTATAATTTTCACAACTCATTTTCCCTTTACATCAAACAGAAGTTGTTTTTCTTGACACAGCCAACCAGGTATTCTGCTGCACTGACATTCTATATTTAAGTAGTTTCCGTAATGGGCAAGCAGTCTAGACATATCGGAAGTGTTTGTCACGCGTCGTAATTGACATACTGAAAGCCTTGTTCCTGCATTAGAGACATTATTTCCCATCTACATGATACACTTAAGAACGTTCGTCAGCATTGATGAGAGTAGGTCAAGACCGATCAAAATGTACACGAAACAAAACGGGGGTGTTGTTCATGCTTGACGATACAGGGCCGGGGGCGTTTTTCACGCTCAGATAAATTTTCCGACAGATAGGCCAAGGCCTGTACTAACCTTGACGACAGGTTGGTCAAGAGTGTTGTTCACCTTCATGAAACACAGGGGCGTGTTTCCCTCTGTGACGAGAGATGGGTAAGGAGCGTTGTGTCACTTGGCGACAGAGAGATTAACTGCAGGTGTGTCCTTTGTGTACTATGAGATTTCAAAATGAGGATCACACAAATTAGGGGATGGCATTGAGTACATAAGTTACGTAATTTAAACGTTCAAACTTTAGGTGCTGTAGCATGGAGCATCCTTATACAAAAGGATATGGGTGAGACAAAGAGTTCATTCTGGTCAGCCCAATGACAGCTGATGAGACCAGGAATTTGATAATATCCCTTAAAAATAATAAATCACCTGGGCCAGTGGATGTTACAAAGAACATCTAAAATATGCAGGCCAAAAACTAATGGATCCCCTTATCCGAATATTCAACGAAATTACAAGGATTAAATATGTTCCTAAATCATACCGAACGGGTTTATGATTCCTATCTATAAAGAGAATGGCAAGGACAAAATAGATCCTCGAAACTACAGAGATATCACACTTACATCGGTCATTGGAACAAGATCATTCTTAACAGAATAGAACAGTGGATTGAGCAAAACGACTTAACTTTCCTAACTTTCTACAGTTTTGCTTCCAGAAGAACAACGGATCACAGATGGCTGCATGGACACTCAGTAGTGCATCACAATACATTAGCTCTACGTTTCCTCTTTATGCAATAATTTTGGATAACGAAAAAGGTTTTGACCGCATACGGCAAGATGGTTTGTTTCGCAAATTGTTGGATCTAGGCATAAACTCAAAGTATTGGCGTCTTATACGTCAATATTGACACAGTAAATCACAAGTATATGTTATGTTTCAAAGATGTTAGTGAGATTTATTCCATATTTCACGTGGTGTCGGTCAAGGAAGAGTTATGTCAGCATGACTTTTTCTGGTTTTTATTGATGACCTCATGAAAGAATTGAGACATATGGTATTTATAAACATGGCTGATGTGAGGTAAGGTGAGGTGACAGTGGGTTAACGTCGTGTTTGAGAATATTTCGCTCATATGACGACGTGCATGCGTGTGTATGTGTATGTGCGGCTGCTTGTACTAGCCCAGACTGGTATAAGCTGGTTTTATGGTGCTAGCCCACGGGGATACCATGCTGAAGTGAAGCATTAACACCTCACTTGGACACATTATATACACAATAACAATAGATTTTCAAACTGCCTGTAAAATATTTGATTCCAAAATATCTCCTATTCTCACATATGGGTCAGAAATCTTGGGGGTAAAATACCACGAAGTTATAGAAAAAGTACAAACAAGTTTCCTCAAAAGATGTCTGGGGGTTGGTACATATGGTGCAAACAAAGCTATTCTTGGAGAAACCGGACGATACTGTTTATTCTTAAAAACGCAGATACAAGTTTTAAAATATTGGATTAAGTTACTAAGAATGAATGTTTCACGTCATCCTTTACATTGTTATGAAATGCTTAAATTACACGACGAACATGGTAAAATTAACCACTACACCACGGAGGTGGTATGGCTGATGTGAACATACCAGGACTTCTTTCAGCTGAAGCTTAGGAAGCAAAACAGTCACTTAAATCCAGCATTCAAACTTGGACAAAACATTGTCAATGAAGTTCAAGAAACAAAATATGCAGGAGTTTTGTTCACATCAAATGGAAGCTCCACATGTCAGCCTGTGAAAGAACTTCCACTGCAATAAGCCATGAACTCTTTATATGCTTCTGGCCATCACGTAAATGGTCTTAATCCCACTGTAAGCACCAAAATATGGAAACGTGTAATATTCCCCGTGTGGATGTGAATTATTTCTCAACCTTAAGAAATCAGACTACACTAATCAGGAATGAGTTGACAGAACTTTTGCTAAAAGAGTACAAGGTTTGCCTAAGAGGTCACCGAGTGTTACTACTATAGGCATTCTTGGACTATGGTCAATGAAGGCTTACATAGATAAATGTGAAATTTCATTTATTGTACATTCCGCCTTTTCGTTCATCTCATATTACACATATTACACATAGACAAAACCGTTGGAGTTTGACAGTAACGGAGACACTTTCATCCAACGAAAACTATATCTATCGATCTTTTCTGACTACAATACATGGGCCCTTATTGTCGAAACGTTCGTAGCACTAAGATTTTCTTAACTTTGATCGTAGCCAATGTCTTAAGAATTGGTTTAAGAAGTTCGTAGGGCTACGAACGTTTCGAGAATAGCTAGTCTGAACCGTTTGACTGCTCTCTTAACCATCCAGAATTAATTACCCATATACTATGGAAAATAGCCTATGTTCGTCACCAATTCCAAGTAAAACTAGCATAATTATGTTGTGGAAATAGCTAGCAGAAAAAGCATTGCGAGACACTGTGCCCTATGTGACAAATATGTACAAAAGTGTGCTTAATATGTACTCCTAAACTGTGCAACACTTAATCAAGAAGTTCTTAGAGCACTTGCATAAATTCTATCAGTGCAGGATTTTGTTCCATTCTGTGACCAAAGTGATAAGAAGATCATGAACTTTATACCCAGTGTGAAACTCGATCTCTTGGACTTTCTCGTTTGGATTCAAGTGATCTTAATATTATCTGAATTCGTTCACAAATGTAGGGCATACATATGTCCAGACCCCAGCTTGTCATTATATCAGGATGAAGTTCATACTGATATGTATATGCAATATCCTTGTACATCCAGGCTTATGGCTGACTCACTACTTTGTGTTTCGTGTTTTTCATTTTGTGCACTGCTCTTCATGACAATGGAGGAAATAATGTATACCGTGTCCCTATGAATATTGAGGCCCGCTTTCCTGTTGACAGCTCTCATTATCTGTCAGACCTTTACATAAAACCCCGCTTGTATGACCGTCACTTCGATGTGTGGTCGTCTCCACTGAAACAGGGTATCACTGGGCTACGCTGTCCCGTGTCTGATTGACCTGGGCTAAGGGTGAATAGAGAACATAATCTGACAGGCAGGTTTTCACCATTCCGTTCTCTTGCTTAAAGTAAATCAAGCTAGGGTCCCTGCAGGTAGCAAAGGTTATGTAAGTCCCATGGTCCCGAGTGTAGTGCACTACCTTCAGTTGCTGGTAATCTCCAGTCTGTTTTTATATGGTATTGTCTATACAAGTGTGTTTAATTTTGCAGTTACATGCTAGTTTTAATTCTCTATCTGTGATAATCTAGTTATTTTACAGTCCTTCGTTGACAGTTTTTTGATGATTCAGTTGCGTTTATTATGAATTCATAACTTTTTAATGTCACGACAGGGCTGCAATATTGCCGATGTGACTATACATCTTAACTCACTCACTCTCTCGCTTAAAATACATACTTATTTTCAGCGGGCAAGAGGGAACACCGCGGGGGTGGTTTTCGACTTTATTGAGTCAGATGCACTCCGCGGTAGGGTCGACGTGCTCGAATACCATGTTCTAATAGTCGCCGCTACACTGTATGTCGACTGATACTATGTCCTAGAGCCGTCGCTGCCGTTGACGTCGCCGTTACAAAACGATTTGTCAGATGAATTGTCCGGATGTGGCGATCAACCAACACCTGGCGTTGTCACACGTGGTCGACCACTGCTAGGCCTGTCTGACGTATTGCCTGTTTGTCAGTTGTCTGTTGCGTCAGTCTGTTGACAGTTTTTCGGGTGCAGCCGAAGGTTCTGGCAATGACAGTGTGGCCAGCACCTTGTTGGGCCATTCTCTCTCTTTCGTTGTTCCTTAAACGTGGCATATTTTTTATTCTTTTTACTACTGTGTTACTCACGTATCGCGTAGGCTGTTCCCGGAAAGAATAGGTCTGTGCGTGTGTGACATGGCTCAGTCAGGTTTTATTACTTCATTTTATTTCTGTGAATTTTATGTAATATTTTGTGGTGTATAGTTTCTTTTGAGCACTAGTTTATTTTAGAAACGATAACTCATGCAAATCGAGTGGTGTTAGTGCAAATGACCTTTGTACGACCCCTTTGACTGAGCCGGAACAGTGGCGCGTGACTAGACGTTTGAGCCATTGTGTGTTTTGACAGCTTGGCGAAAAGGCTCGCAAGATATCTGTCACCCCATCACCATGGAGATCTTGGGCCTCGTGGACGTCCCGTTGTATGTCCTTCTAGCCCTCGCGGTGGCTGTGCTGATCTATATGTGAGTAGACAATACATGTATTACTTTAGATGGACCAGTTATCTCCAGACGAATGTGACAGGCTGCATGTCTGGTAATCAACACCATTACAGGCTGATCGAGCAAGACATCGTCAGTGTGAGTCCCTTTTGTACAATTTGAATTCTCGTCAAATTTATATTTACAACTTACATGACACATCAATGGAGATGCCAACGTAAACACTATTATTTACACTACATATGCTGTAGCCTTCAATACCACTTGAAGTATATCACGGCGGACTATCTTTATGCAGGAAACCATAGAGACACTGGATGTAGACTTTGAACGCTTTGATGGAACGCAGGAGCACGGAAGGGTCAGACCACAACATATTATAACATTTGTTATATGCGGTATTACACTTTCTCAGTAAAGTACAGATTCTAGTACTTTTGTTGGGTTGAGTCCCATGTGGGATTCGAACCCACATCCTCAGAGTCAGGCACCTTTATAGAATCGCCAGCACACAAACTCAGCCTCCAAACCCGCTCAGTCACCGCGACTTCCACAGTGGAAGTCCCTCAATGGACAACAAAAGTACTAGAAAATGTGCGTTCCTGAGAAAGTGTAATCCCACACACAGCATATGTTACATTTGACCACTTTCTAAATGGCATCGTGTATTCACACAAAATATTAGAAACATAATATGGGTCAAAAACAAGGGCTCGCTTGCGTTTACAGGGATCATCTGTGCAGAGGAAATCTTTTGGAACTTAGTACTAATACGCTTCCATAGAAATGCATGTCATTTGAACAGTTTATCTAAAGCGTGAATGTGCCTTGAATCGTAGACACAACCGTTAAAAGTTCCCCCTGAAATCACACATGCGATGTTTGAATACAATAGTAAAATAGCAGTAAGACTTAAGAACTTTTCACAGATGGGCCTCGTGCAATACGATTATGTCTATTTTTTTCAGACACGGAACCTGGAACTTCAATTACTTCAAAAAACAGGGAATCCCTGGACCAACACCATACCCTCTTTTTGGAAACAGTACCTCATTTGTAGGTTCAGTTTACCATTTGCCATCTGACCGATGTATGATCATATATATATATATATATATATATATATATATATATATATATATATATATATATAAATGGAACGTAATTAAGCACCCCCCGATTTTTTCATATTGCCATGAAACTGACCAACCAATACCATTAGTATGTATGCTGGATAGCTTAAACGCCATTGTTTCCTGAAAGTTGACATTTTGGACTAAACAATAACAACAACATCATGAAAATTTGCAGTATTTTAATTTACAAAATGACATGAAAACGTCAACGATGTTTTGTTCACAAAAAGTATCCCTGTACAACTATGGGGCTGCAGAGTTCCAAAATGGGAGAGGTCTGTGTTTCTCAGTCTGAAACTGTTCTCTGTCATCTTCAGACAACAAATCACATGAAAAATGTTAATAGCGTGCATGTCGACCTTGTGCACGGATGATTGCTTTGACCCTCCTCCTCATGATTGTCGTGAGTCTGCAGATTTGCTCCAGAGGCAGCTGCTGCCATTCCCGGCGCAAAGCTGCTTCCAGGCATGCCAGATCTTGTACAGACGGATCCAGTGCTTGCACTCGGCGTCCAAGAATGCCCCAGACAGGCTCCAATGGGTTCAGACCCGGGCTCAAAGCAGGCCATGGATGTTTGGTGACAGCGTTGTTGGAGAAAAACTGTCACAAGTCGGGAACGATGTGGTCAGGCGTTGTCGTCCATAAATACAGGGCGAGTGGCTAATGGGTGGTCATCAAAATGTGGCACAAGAACAGGATCCAGAATGTCCCGGATGTCGTGGTCGCCATTGAGATTTCCACGAACAGTTACCAAGTCCAGTTTACAATCATGGAAGAGACAACCCCAGACCATGACAGATCCACCACCGTAAGGAACCGATGCTCTGGTGTTCTTAGGCTCATAGGCACTGTTCTTGGTCCTCCAGACACGCTGGCGCCCGTCTGTGATGTGCAATAAAAAAGTGACTCTCATCCGACCAATGCACTTTTCTCCATGACGTCAATTTCAAATGACGTCGGGGTAAACACCCCCTGCAAATGAGCTCTCACCACTGCAAATGAGCTATCTTGTGAAGACTTGATCACCCTTCTTGCCCTCATCCCATGTGCTTTTATGCTGTTTCTTACAGTCCTGTTGCACAGACGTCTGTTGGGGAGCCATAGGTGATTCAGGACGCCATTTGTAGTGAGAGAATGACGTGTCACAAGGCTTGTTAAATCCCGATCCTCAAATTGAGACGTCTTTCGGGGATGACCTTGCCTTGGTCAAACCTTGTTGGCTTGACGGTGTTTTTGAAAAGGTCGACTTATGACGGTGTGGTGAATGTCAAATTGTCGCCCAATAGCCCTGCATGACATCCGGTGTCGTGCATTCCAATAATTTGCCATCTTCTTGCTTCTGGTAGTCTGCTTCGTGCCATTGTAACAGATACTGGTAAAATCATTAAAAAAATGTGACGTTTTATACAGTTCGCCGCATTGAGTTAATAGTGCTTTCTGAGACAATCGTGGGTAGTGTGCTCCTACTACATATTGGGATGCGTTTTGACGATTGATTTAGCAAAACCCTTAAACAATATTGAAAGGGAATACAGTTCAAATAATAGTCATCGTTACAATTCAAGATTTATCATAAGATAAGTCAGTAACTTAAAATATGTTAGGGGGTGCTTAATTAAGTTCCATGTTTATATATACGTAACACATGTTAAATTTGACTGACCAGGCCCTGATTTCTCGAAACAAACTTAAGTATGAGTTTTGACTTAAGTTAGAGGTTTTACTCAAGTTTGAATAAACGCAGGAAAATGTTTTTCCCAGAATAAATTGAAATCAATGTTAGGCTCAAGCATAGTAGCTAAAGACAATTTGAGTTTGGTGGATAGATAATTGAAGTTGTTTGGGCTTTTGTATTTTAAACAGGCAGCTGAGCTAAATTTCAATTAAAGTTTCAAATTTGTCAAACTCAGTTTGTTTCGAGACATCAGGGCCAGATTTAGTAATTGTTTTCAGGAAATGACGACCAGGCATTCATTAAATACAGTAATGCTTTCCGTGAAAATTGTGTGTATAGTATAAAAAAGAAGCAAATCAGAATGTTTCACGTATGAGAAATAATACTTGCAGGTAACATATGAATATGAATGCCATATCTTGCCTCAGAAAGCTGTGCCTGTATGTGCATAGTACAAAATACATAAGTTCTTTAAAATTGATAAAACCTGACCGAGTGATACTATGGCAATCTAGTTACATGTTTCATATTTATTCCACAATCCTCGTTGTTATGGTGAAATATATGCATTTCAGTGCTGAAAACAACATCCGTTCCGAGACTCACCTTATTGACATGTAGACTGTTGATTTTGTACCCAGACTATGGCGCCATATTTTAAAATTGGCATAGAATGCATGAATTATGTTATCTATTTACAGTCTTTCTTCCAAAAATTCAAAGAATGGAACCGGCAATACGGAAATGTATATGGGTAGGTACATCTCATACACTGATTGAATGACTTTGCACACGACTTCCGGGTAATCTGGACAGCAGAATCACCATCTTGTTCTTGACACTTGTATGCGGGGCATTCAGGGCGAAGCTACTGATAGAAACTTCTTTGGTCCCAGATGTCCTTTAAAAAGAATAATACATCCATGATGTCGAATCACTGTTTTTGGGGCCCTTTTGGAAGTATTTTAGTAAACTGCCAGCATGTTAGCTTAGTTGTGGAGGTCACTCGACGTAATGCAGTCCTCGTACATTTAAAATGTAGGCAACAAGTTGGATCTGGGATTCAAACCTAACAGAGCAGGACCTTTATTGACTCAAAGCCATTGACACGCCGTATTGAGGGTTTACAGAAATCAGATACAAAGCAGGCGACATTCATTGTTGTTTGCTAGTCTAATACCAGTTTGTCCAGAATTTGAACAGTGGATGTAGCAATGCTTCAATCAAAAGATAATGTACCTTGTAATGCATATAAAAACAAAACTCCCTGTATCCGATTTCATTTAGAATGTAATGTTACGTTATCTCAAACTATGTTCTTTCTTACAACATTGAAAAAACTTCAAGGAATGACAACGGTACAAGAATCTGTATCGAAACGTCGCACTCACGAAATATAGAAGTTGTTATCCATAAAGCTTGTTGAATATTGTTCGTCCAAACTTCTAAAATGCCACTGAAACAAGTTATGTTCTTCTTGACCTCAGGATATTTATGGGAAGGACGCCAGCCTATGTTATATCGGATCTGGACATTCTAAAGGAGGTGCTTGTCAAGAGCTTCAACACTTTCAGAAATCGGATGGTAAACAGTACTTTCAAGTGTCTTGCCTATGACATTGTTGCAGACGCAATTACTTTATTTTTGTTAAGGACAAGCACGGAAAATATATTTCTCCCTGACGGCATGACATTATAAATAGAGATCTGTTAAATGCGATATTCAAACTCACTCTGGTGGCGGGAATATTACAACTGAATGCTACACGCATGTCTTGTCAATATGTTTCCAGAAATTCTCACTCGTTCCATATCCATTCAATTTGGGGGTGTTTTTCTTGGACGATGAGCACTGGCGGAGAGTGAGAAGCATCATAACACCGAGCTTCAGCAGCGGAAAACTGAGGAAAGTGAGCCACTTTAGTTCTTATTGTTGGGTTGGTATTTAACGTATTAGAAAATATCCCCAGCACCCTTTGCTTGTTGTGCGAGGATACGCAATTTATCGGATTTGTCAGCCTTTTTGAGGCTGGGTTCTGTGTCTGTCTAATTTGATATACATGTAGTTCCTATGTGTTCCGGTTTTACAACATTACGACTAGTATGTAGGTATATGTTATCGCTTTGGATTCCTAGATGAGCGCCGCCATCAACGAGTGCTCACGGACACTCTCAACTAACTTCTCTAACGCCATTGGGAAAAAGGATGGGGTGATCGTGAAAGAGTAAGTATTGTGCTGACATGTCGAACTGTCCTTTATGTTCGATCATATGCGAATAAATGGATATTCCTTCCTCGAGTATTACATGTTCAACACAAGCACAGATGCTTTTAATATTGTACATCCTATTCCCTCATCGATGTTGATGGTTTATTTGAATGAACTTCTTCCTTTCATTACTAATTTGGTGAATTTGAGTATATCCACTGGAGTTTTTCCAGACTCTCTCAAATCTGCTATTGTGAAGCCTCTTCTCAAGAAAAGCGATTTAGACCCTAACTATCTGGGAAACTATAGGCCTGTGTCAAATCTTTCATTTATCTCCAAAATCATCGAAAATGCTGTGAATATAAGACTTAAAGATCATCTCACAGAAAATGAACTTACGGGTGAGTTTCAGTCTGCCTACCTTGATAACCATAGTACAGAAACTGCTTTGTTGATTAACAGCTTCAAACCCGAGAATATTCAGGAGGCCGTACACATACTACTGATTGCTCAACTGATGTCAAGTGTTGGATGTCATCAAATATGTTGAAGCTAAATGATGAGAAAACAGAGGTTTTGTTGATAGGCACTAAACATGATTTGCGTGACATTCCTGTAAACTCTGTTGAAGTTGGAAATGCTTCAATCCCTTTTGCTGACCATGTAAGAAACCTTGGCGTCATCTTTGATTTTCAGCTAACTATGGAACTGCAAATAGATAAACTTTGTAAAACTTATAACTACCATCTCCGTTGTATCAGTCAACTACGCCATCTCATAACACGAGATTCTAAAAGACTTGTGCAAATGCTTGTTCATTCTAGACTTGACTATAGTAACAACTTACTGATAGGAATCAGTAAACTCCAGAAAGTCCAGAACACTGCTGCCAGGATAGTGACGAGAACACCAAAATCATCGAACATAACGCCAGTTCTTAAGGATTTGCATTGGCTTCCAACTGAAGCGAGAATCAACTGTGTATGGTGTACAAATGTCAAAGTGATATGGCACCACCATATCTTTCTAATATGCTAGTAGACTACATCCCTATAAAGACTCTTCGATCTCAAAATCTGAATCTTCTGAACATACCAAAGTATAATCTTACCAGCTATGAACAGAAGTCTTTTACCCACGCAGTTCCTCGACTATGGACAAACTTCCTCTGGACATCAAACTTTCATCATCATTAACTGTACTCAAATCAAAACTCAAGACGTAACTATTTTCAGGCTATCATTCATGAACTTTAATTAATGATTTTTTCTCCTGCTATTATTCATAGGCTTTATTTAAGGCTATCATTCATAAGTTTTATTTCATACTACTAAGCAGCAAAAGAAACGTCAGTTTGGAATTTTCCTTCGCAGAAACGGATAATTGTAAACTCATTTCAGGTTTTGATTGTATATTTTTGACAACATCTCCAACTTTACCTGAGCAGAGACGTTCCTTCCCAAACTCAGAATGGAACCCAGAAAATGGTCCCAAAAATGCAACCTGATCTCGGAGATGGTACGGTGTTTGCCATGTTTTTCATGCAACTCATGCTGTACATGCTGTTCACAAGGACCAGCCCTATAAAATACACCCCCAAACCTACAACGTCAGCAGGATGCCGCAACTCACGACAGCTCAGAGGAACCAGGCGCTAGGAAGACTTGAAGCTGGCCAAACTGCACAAGCCGTTGGCAATCACTTCCAGGTCAACGTTTCCAGGCCACCAACAACACAACTGATCGCCCATGTACTGGCAGACCAAGGGTGACCACAAGACGACAAGACCGCCATGTTGTGCGACAGCATGTACAGAATCCCCTCATGCAGGCATCCGAAACAGCATGACAGACAGTGGGAACACACGGAAGACCAATCAGTGCTGTTACAGAACGCCGACGTTTTAACAGCGGGAACCACCATTGCCGTAGACCTTACCGTGGACCTATCTCAACCCTCGTCATCTGCGTGAACGTCTACAGTTTGCCCTACAACACCCAAACTGGTGATACAAGCAGTGGAGAAATGTTCTGTTCACAGATGAGATTCGGTACTGTGTATCAACTGCGGATGGCAGAACAAGAATATGGCGACGACGTGGCCAGCGTTACTCAGACCAATGTGTTATGGCTAGAGACTCATGGGGAGGTGCAAGCATCATGGTATGGGCCGGAACAGGCCTGAACCAGAGAGTGGGTCCTGTGGTGTTCCCGAACCTTAGTCCAGGGAGAGAAGGCGTCATCACAGTGGTGCGCTACATCGACCAAGCTCTCAGACCCCACGTCATACCACATTCCAGCATAATAACGCCCGGGCCCATACTGCCAGAGCTACACGGGACTTCCTACAGCAGAACAGTGTCAACATTATGCAGTGGCCGGCCCTTAGTCCTGATTTAAACCCAATTGAACATCTTTGGAATGAAATTCAGAGGAGACTGAATAATGTCATACCAAGGCCGAACACAGACGATTTATTGCGCCAGGCCTTTCTCAGAGTGTGGTTCCAGGTGTCAATGGCCTTCATCAATCGATTGGTGCACTCCATGCATAGACGCTGTGCTGCAGTTATTGCCGCTCGTGGTGGTCACACTAGATACTAAAGTCAAGAGTCTGAATGGACGCAAATGTTCACGTAATGTCTTGAAATTGTGCTGAATTATTCATTGATGTGTCAGGATATTGTACACAAAAAATGTTTTTGATCCGCTTATTATGTCTATTTCTGTAATGATTTGATTACAGTGCCTATCTAGTTATGAATTCGCATTGACGTATTTTTTGCTGTTGAGTATATTATTTCACTACCTGTGTCTTTTCTCTCATTTTATGCGCTTTGAGCATGCACCTTGTGCATAGATACAGTGCTTTATAACTACTCATTATTATTAATTTTTTTGCATCAGCTTGTCTGTTTTCGTTAACGGATATGAGAGTACATTCTTCTACAGTGTCTGATCATTTACCTATATCATGCAGTTTGAACTACGAATCTACGTCTACTTATACTACGGCTTCAACTAATATTCCATCTTTTGATGTACCTAAGTTCCGATGGAAAGAGTATGGTAAACATCTCTTTAGTGCTAATTTTGAAAATATCAGAGCTAAAGAGCTGGTATCAGAGTTTACATCTCTTCTTGAAAAAACTGATGTTAATGGTGCGGTTGAAAAATTATGTCAGCTTTGCTACTTTGCTGGGGAGCACTTTAAGTCCAACAGGGGGGTTGCTATGAATCTATGAAAAAACAACCGATTTGGTTTGATAAAGAATGTTCTTCTTTCAAACGTAAAAAGTATAGCACTTTAGAAAAGCTACGTATGAACAGAAACAGAGTCAATATCAATCAATACTTGGAGGCCAAACATATCTTCCGGCGCATCTGTAACGAAAAAAAGGAAACATTCATTGCCGAAGCTTTAAATAATTTGTCAGTTGCTGTAAATAATAAAGACTGCAGAAACTTTTGGAAACAACTGAAACGTCTCCTTGCTAGTAAACGTGATGAAAATGATATAACACCAAGTGAATGGTTTGTATACTTTAAAGATCTTTTAAATCCTTCTGATAGTCAAACTGAATTTGATCACGATGTTGTACATTTTCTTGAAAATCATGATAGTTTTCCATGTGAAAAATGCTTGAACATTGATATGTTATCAGATACCATCAGCCATGAGGAAATTATTAAAGCGATCTCTGATATTTAATCGGGCAAGTCACCAGGAATAGATGGCCTTCCACCAGAATTAATGAAGAATGCACCTTCCCTTGCTGATCATTTCTATGCATTGTTTAATGTCATTTTAGATTCAGGAGTATTTCCCTCTGCTTGGAATGTTGGTTTACTGGTACCTATCTATAAACAAGGAAATATGTCTGATCCCAACAACTATCGGGGAATATCCATGTTAAGTGTCATTGGTAAAAGTTTCACTTATGTTCTTGAAAAAAGACTGCGTAGCTGGACCGAGTTTAATGCTTTACTTAATGAAGGGCAAGGAGGCTTTAGAAATGATTATTCTACCATAGATAATATGTTCTCACTTCATTCTTTAGTTCATAAGTACCTGCGTAAAGCAAAACATCGTTTTTATGTAGCTTTCATCGATTACGGCAAGGCCTTCGATCTTATTGATAGAAAAAAAATGAAACGCTATCTTTACAAGCCAATCGTGCATGTTTCCCTCTGTTTCAACTGTTCACCAAGTATCAAAGTATGTCTTTAACTATTGCTAATAATATATTTGTCAGTAAGATACTACCAATTCTAACCTATGGAAGTGAAATTTGGGGCTATACTTATAGAACGTGTATTGAAAAGGTTCATGGTGAGTACTATAAAAGATTTCTGTCACTCAGTAAAAAACTGCATCATGTGCTGTACTTGGAGAAATTGGCAGATATAACTTGTGTGTACATTACCATTCAAGGTGTATTAAATATTGGTGCCGAATTATTCGTATGGACCAAAATAGATACCCGAATGCCTGTTATAAGATGATGAAAGCCTATGATGATAACGGAGGCACAAACTGGGTTTCACATGTTCGAATGCTTCTATTTACTACAGGTTTCTCCTATGTCTGGTTCGCTTTGAGTTCAAACAACGCTGCATAGATATTAATATACAACACTGGAATAGTAAAATAAGTAACTCATCATTTCTTGTAAATTATAGTACATTTAAGTCACTTCTTGAACCTGAACTGTATATTTCCTGTGGCGCATTAAGCAAAGATCTTATGCGAATGTTGATCAAATTCCGATGCCAATCACATAACTTGAATATACAAAAACAACGTTTTTCCAAGATAATTGTCCCATATAAAGATTTAGTTTGTAACAAATGTACTTTAAACGTGCTTGAAGACGAATATCACTTGTTGCTAATATGTCCATTTTATAACCGATGCAGATCCCAATGTATTCCAGCCTATTTCTACAGCCCACCTTCAATTGTCAAATTCCGAGCCCTTATGAAGATACTCAGTGTCACTGTTCTTAAAGGAATATGTATATTCCTGAAGCAAAACCTACGTTAAAATAATTGTATTATGAATTATATTTCAACTCTACACACCATGAAAATGTTGTATTACCTGTTGTACTCTTGGCCAAATGGCCTTCAATTCTGAATAAAGTGAAATGAAGTGAAGTGATTATTATTATTATATTATACATGTTTCAAGACTGCACTCGTTCAGTTCTCTATCTTAACGGGAACACTCTTGCAAACGACCAGCACATTCAATATTCATTCTATTTTATCAGTGTTGTTAAAATACAGAGACGTGGCAGATATAAACATATTACTATTTGGACTTCTACTTATCTCGTGTAATATGGCATTGCAACTTGTTAAAACGCATATATATTTTGCATTTTTTCAGATACTTTGGGGCTTACACTATGGACGTGATTTCACGGACTGCCTTTGGCATAAAAGTGGATTCTCAGAACGATTTCAACAATGCATTTGTCGCTAATGTTAAGCAGATGTTTACAGAAACAAAGCCAAGGAGAATACTACCCATGATAGCACGTATGTTAAACACTTCTTGCAGAAACGTCTCTTCATTCAACAGCCTTGTCTATAATTTCTACTATTTCTCTCTGTTGAATACTGATTCTATACAAATACATTTGTTTTTAAGGAAGGTATGGGATGACCACGTATAATGATATATATATCGTTAGGATGAGAAAGCCGCAATAACTCGGTGCGCCTAGTGGCTGCAAGATTTGTATACTCCCCAGGGAGTTGAAATTGATAATACGATGTGCCGTTGAGATTGACATCCAATGATCGAGGGGAAAATACCAGCGCCTTGAGCATGCACTTATTGCCTGGATATGTGCGCTATATAAATATCCTATAATAATAATGATAATAATATCTGTTGTTAGTACCCATAACACGAGAGAGTGGGGTATGAACTTAAACCGATATCTGTTGTTAGCACGAAGTTGTGGATGGGTGTTATGTTTGACCAAGGAACTGTGGCATTTCGAACAATTTAAGTGTTTCAACTGTTGAAGAAATCTGAAAATAATGTAACAATGTTTTTGTTATACTATTTGACTTGCCTCCAAAGCCTAGAGACATCTTCATTGCTATTTTGTATTTCCTTAGTGCCATAAATAAACGAACCCATACAAAGAGAGATATTACAGATATCATCGCATGTATTGATATGATGTATATATTTCACAACATTTGAAGATTCAAAAAGAGGTCATACCTCGTAATCTAACCATCGGCAGAAATGTAGGATGGGTCCTGCATTTAGAACATACATGTATGTCTTACGATTATGGGAAGATAATGAAAAGAGTTTTGTTGTATTTAACCAAACCCCGGCCTCCCCACATTGTTGCTTGTTTATGTTTTGTTTCACACCGTACTCGGAAATATTCCATCTAGATGACGACGGTCTGTAAATAATCATTATTGGGCCAGACAATCCAGACGGACGTCATGAGCATCGATCTTCACACTTTGTAAACGTTGACATGCATCAACCAAGTCCACGAGTCTGATCCCCCCGATCCCGTCCGTCGCCTTTTGCAACAAGCATGGGTTGTTGAAAACCCTGATCTTCACGGGTCTACTCCCACACTAAGACGTCACGTCGGCATAAATATTTTCCAAGTCCACAATCGTTGAGCAGAATTCAATCGTTTTTATCTTTTGCAGGCTTCTTTCCACCATTGGTGTGGATTATCCGGAAACTTGGAGTTGGAATATTTCCAAATGGCGTCATGAGCTTTTTTCAAACAAACATCACCGAAATGATCAAACAACGACAGAACGACTCAAATGAAAATCGCGAGGTTAGATATATCTGTGGAACGCTGGCTCTTTGATGTGGTCTATTTCTTATAGGTTGTGTTGATAGTAAATAGGTTAGTTTATATTTTCTTAAACCAATAATAACGTGCCAAAGAAATGTGTTAGATAAAGAATAGGTAACTAAGTTGACTAAATTGAAGCAGCTACAAAATATTTGCTAAGATAATTTCCATGACGTTAACAGATATGTAAAACATATCCTGCTTTGAACTTTCTAATCGAAGATCATTATTATACAGTGATTCTATTCCACAGTATGCTTGTCATGGTTACTGCATGTGGGTATCATTATCAATTAATTCAAACCTGCATTAGATTATAAACATTAATTCACACACATTCATTTATAAGACTCACACAAGAAAGGATGTCGTATTTACAGCAGAGAATCGACTTCCTGCAACTCTTGGTAGACGCTGAGATAACGGACGATGCAGATAAGCAAGAAAACGGTATCACAGCCAATGGACAGGCTTCGGAGAAACATGCAGTCAGACGTGAGTACAGAAACACCTCTGAGTATGCTGAGCGTGAACGTGGCTTTGAACAGTGCTTTATGCATGAGGTGGGACTTCGTATTTTGCATATCATCATGCATCGACAACGTGATCCAGACTCGATTGTTTACTGACTGGATCTTCATCATACTTGTAACGTAGCTGAGGCGTCCAGAGTCTGAAATAACGTCGTGTGCATATTCCACTGTATGATTACTTTTGCAGGCTTAACAACGGATGAAATAGTTGGCCAAGGGATAGTGTTCTTCATTGCTGGATACGAAACAACGGCTTCCACGCTGACCTTTGCATCGCACAGTCTCGCCATGAATCCGGATGCACAGGAGAAGGCATATAATGAAATCAAAGAAATGCTTGGAAATGTCAGTATGAACCTTATGATATAACGAGCACACGCACTCTTGAGGGATTCATTCGGAAACATTATTATCATTGTCTCATGAGAAAACAATTGTAAATAACATAGCAAAGTGACGATTTCTCCTGATATAGTCATAGTCAAGGTCGTCTCAAGAAATTGAACTCGAACCTGTTCGTGTACCTATCGTAGATTAATATGGCAGTGTTGGATTTAAGGTTGTTGTATGACATGAAACATTGGTGAACCATGAATTAATCCGTTGATAGGTACACTTGTTCAGAAACAGAAAACCAATGTTTAAAGACGTTCTGCTTAGACCTCTTGATTAAAAGGCTTCTACAAAAAGACAGTGGTAGACATAATCGTTTTTGTTTTCTTCTACCCAGGAGGAACCAAACTACGACAACGTTGGGAAACTGAAGTATCTGGACAACGTCATCACTGAGACGCTCAGACTCTTCCCACCAGTTATTGCGTAAGTTGACACTCAATGACACTTTATGACATTTCGATGGCAAAGTGCAATATGTACTACTTACATCAACATTTGATAATTGCTTTTCACTTTTGTGAGTTCATTGGACTATAAACTGTCATAAAGTGAGGGCCAAACGCTATGAACGTTGAACGAAGATACTGAGGAAAATTTATTGATTGTCTGTCCGCTAAAACTACACGTGACCTAAGGCAGCCAATCATACTACGGCAATGGATACCGCCCTCGTCAACGAAAACTTTCGTTTTTCATAACGTTAAACACGATGTGTTTGTTTTGTTAATTAATTAATGACCATCAAACAATGTTGATTCACCGCCAACAAGATTGATGTATACTGTACCGCTAAGTGGCTGAGCTGACACTGAGTGAGTTCGCTAATCATGTCGTTAATTGGGTCTTGGGGGGTAGTAAATCAGTTCGCTATAGCCATTAATTCGCTACTCACGAGTTCGTTATTCACGTATAATTTTAATGATATTATAAAGGACTGTTGACGGGACTTTTAAATTTGTTCGCTATATCCGTTTGTACGCTATATCCGTGTTCGCTATAACCATGTTCTACTGTATGTTCCATTCCAAAGAGTGGATTTGTATCTGTCGTTTCGGTTACCAGGATCGGTCGAAGCGAGGGTATTCGTGACCGCACGCAATTAAACTATCTTACTTATCCCAATTCATGCTAAAACGTTAAGTTCAAGATTCTAGTATCAAAATGAGTAAAAACTTCACTTCTGTGCTTATTCGAGCTAGGGAATTACCAGGGGTTTCCACATGGAGACAGAAGGTTTTGTTATACCAAGAAATACAGTCTAGTTAAGAACATGTGAAAGTCTTTCATACATTTATTATCATCAGTGTTAGGGTCATATTACTGACTACTTGCCCAAATTCGCATTAGAAAATATTTAGAGATGATTGTCTATTTCAGATTACATCGCAGAGCATCTGAGAATATTAAAATCAAAGGCTTGACAATCTATGAGGGTCAGACTGTCTTCGTGCCTACAATTGCACTACAGAGAGACCCTAAGCTCTTCAAGGATCCACATTCCTTCAAACCTGAAAGGTAATGCTACCCTCAAACGTATCATATGGTATTGCTGTAATTACTCCAAAAAACAGACAGGAGCTCACATATTCTCTCACAGGCAACATGACATGGCATACACACCCACGCTGTTCACAGTTTGTGTCAGTATCCATCATCACGATAACACACCCCGCGTTCTTAAGTCAGTAAACTCTCTTCAACAAATCCCTTTTTGGCAAGGTGTGCTTTGAACAGATTCGGGGTTTATGTGCTTTGTTAAACACATTCGCCTCCCCAGCTTAGTGAGTTGTGTATGGCAGATTCCAGTTCAGACATCAGTGTGCACTATTTGACGTATCCTTCTCAGTTCAGTATGCTTTGTTTCAATTGAATACCAAACTTTACTATCTGATTGTGTTAGCAAAGAGTGTCGTTGACATAAAAACATGATTGTGCTTTTTCATTTCCAGATAGATTGTGTGTAATATATGAGTGAAGTATGAAATTTAATCAAAACAGTCCACCGTTTATTGAGATTATTTCATTCACTGTGGTTTTTCAGACATGATGAAAAATCCAACCCATTGTCCTTCTTGGCATTCGGATACGGTCCAAGAAACTGTATTGGGATGCGTCTGGCTCTGGTTGAGACTAAAATAGCCCTGGTTCATGTGTTGAGAACTGTGAGGTTTGAGCGTATGCCGGATACACAGGTATACTGCATCTTTGTAATTATCATCACCATCATCCTATCTTTTGTCATCTCAACGATTGTCATCTGCATCATTGTCAGCCTAGGGAATCAAAACTCCTAAGGCATGCAGATATTAATTATGTAACGGTAGGGCAGGCCACCTTGCGCTATCATTGGTTTTCAGTGATTCAGTCGCATTATTGTCACAACTTATCTGAGATATTTAGAAGCTATTTTGATGAATATTCCAGACTAATTATTCTCTGTCGTTTTATAGTTTTTAAAGCATCCGTTTTCTTACTTAGCAGTATGGATTAGAAATGTTTTGTGGTGTAGAAAAGTACATTTATGTGCATGCAAAAGATTCCATGATGCTCAATGCTAAACATATTCTCTCTTTAAGAATATTTCGCAGAGAGCATAGCGTACTTGAAGTAGCTAAAAAATCCTTTCTTTATCTGTACGGGAAGATATATGGGGATCTGATGAAAACACACAATTTGTAAGGTTTGTAATTTGAACAAATATAATTTCCTTCTAATATGTCCAGATATTATAGTTGATGGCAAGTAACAATGTAGGAACGAAAGCAATGTCGTTGTACAATTTATATGCTATGACACCCACTGTGATGACGCCTTCTCTCCCTGGACCAAGGTTCTGGAACACCACAGGACCCACTCTCTGGTTCAGGCCTATTCCACCCCATACCACGGTGCTTGCACCTCCCCATGAGTCTCTAGCCATAACACATTGGTCTGAGTAACGCTGGCCACGGCGTCGCCATATTCTTGTTCTGCCATCTGCAGTTGATACACAGTACCGATTCTCATCGGTGAACAGAACAGTTCTCCATTGACTGTATCGCCAGTTTGGGTGTTGTAGGGCAAACTGTAAACGTTCACGCCGATGACGAGGGGTGAGGATAGGTCCACGGTAAGGTCTACGGCAATGGAGGTTCCCGCTGTTAAGACGTCGGCGTACTGTATCAGTACTGATTGGTCTTCCATGTGTTCCCGCTGTCTGGCGTGCTGTTTCGGATGCCTGCATGAGGGGATTCTGTACATGCTGTCGCACAACATGGCGGTCTTGTCGTCTTGTGGTCACCCTTGGTCTGCCAGTACAGGGGCGATCATTTGTGGTGTTGGTGGCCCGGAAACGTTGCTGCAGCCTGTAGACCTAGAAGTGATTGCCAACGGTTTGTGCAGTTTGGCCAGCTTCAAGTCCTCCTAGCGCCTGGTTCCTCTGAGCTGTCGTGAGTTGCGGCATCCTGCTAACGTTGCAATGAGAATGTTTCAACCAGGTTTGGGGCCGCATTTTATAGGGCTGGTCCTTGTGAACAGCATGTACAGCACGAGTTCCATGAAAAACACTGAGAACACCGTACCATCTCCGAAATCAGGTTGCATTTTTGGGACCATTTTCTGGGTTCCATTCTGAGTTTGGGAAGGAATGTCTTTGCTCAGGTAATGTTGGAGATGTTGTCAAAAATATACAATCAAAACATTAAACATTAAATGAGTTTACAGTTATCCGTTTCTGCGAAGGGAAATTCCAAACTGACGTTTCGTTTGCTGCTTTGTATACTTACGTGACTAAATGTGAAAGTCAACAGGTGTGTACATGAATCTTTTGTTTACAGGAAGTATTGACGTTTAAGATGTCCAACGTTCTTCAAACAGAAAAGGACATCAAGCTGAAAGTATCTCCAAGATGCTGAGCAAAGGGAAGAGGCACCAGCAGTCATGCAATGATAAGAACAAAGGAGAGAAAAGGTTGTAAAAGTAACTGGCTCATGATTCTTTCAAACAAGGCGCAGTAGTTTGATGTGATGAGTTGTTTCACTTTGGAGTGCCAGAAACTTGTACACGCAATCGACCTGCATAACTTTGGATTTTCCTCCCAGTACGACTCACTGTGATTAATAACAATTTTGGTGCTTTGGTTAACTCAATCCACTTTCCTTGCTAGTTTTTTCTTCTCCTCAGAGAAAACTTTGAAATGAGCAGTGTTGGATGAAAACATACCTTCGTGATTGTACTGTCATTTCTAGGTTTCAGTAATTCTTGCTTTTTAAACATTTGACTGTAAATGATTGTAGTATTGAAGAACGATTTTCAGAACAGACGTTGACCATACATCAGTAATGGGAGAAGTGGAGTGTGCAGACAGACAGACAGACATACAGACAGACAGATAGACAGACATACATACAGACAGATAGACAATGTGTTGTTCCAAATAATATGTCGCCATTTGAATGACATGTGTACAGCTGTATGTATTGTATGTATAATATACATTGTAATGGGGAAAATATTAAGAGTGTTTAGAAGAGGTGGAATATGTTGCTTAAATTGATCAAGTTCGGGCTCAATATTAAGTACATGTATATTTTCAGGAAATATCTATTTACTTACAGAAAGTTTAAACTGGAATGTGAATTCTTATAAAACACATGTAGGCTTTGAATGAATGAAGTTCTTAGCCCCCGCCCTTGACAATATCAATGATGTTACTCAGATCAAAAGCATGATGCTAGTATGTACATAAATATAGATATGATCCCTACTAACACAACCTGTATAAGTATTTATTCTATATCACCTATGTACACAAACAACAGTCATGGCTGCACAGCAAATGAAAAGATGGGACAGTCTGATATTTTATTAGCTGAATTACATGTTAACAGAATATTGATAAGTAGTTTCCCAAGTAGTCTGGCCTACTATTCCAGATAGTGTTTGAGCTGAACACCAGAACAGTGCAAGCATTGCATTCTCACTCAAACGTTCAAACTGAACATAGCTTTCAACATACAATGAGGGTGGAGAAGAACTCATTTCGTTCCTTTATATAGTACCCACAGTGTAAATGTACATGTCTGTCATAAGCAAAAGCATGTCTGCCACATTTTGAACATTCTCGAGATGTAATCGGTCAGGATACTATCTCAAGAGAGTACTGGACGATATATCTAAGATGAGGATACGTTACGGCTAATTCTATAGTACATGCAGTTTACGTTTCGGGTGAGTTGACCAGATCTTCTCTCAGTGGTAATCCACCGATCTTCCTTATACAAGGATATTGCGTCACATACCATTTTTCTCACTTGGGTTTTGATAGGGAATGTTCCACTGATAAAGACCGACATGACATTTTTTAAAGTTGTATTTACAAGCAGTCGATATCATTGTATCGCTGATGCTTGTGTTTGTTAGGAACAATTAGGACTGATGCTAAGTAGATGATGTAGAGGTTCCAAGTTACAATCCATAACATATCTAGACATAAAATGAACGCTTTGTATACCCTGCGCTTACATATATCTAACGTGAAATGTAACGTGAAATACACATGAATTTGTGCACATTCTAGTGTCACTGCCCTGTAAGCACAGTGTATGCCAGATTGTACACACATACATGACATTGTCATATTAACTGCGGTTGTTTAACGTATTTGTGGTACATGTAACTAACTATGAATTATTGAATAAATTGTCAATATCACATCTACATCATATCTTGACAGAAAATGAAAGTTTTGCCTGCCTTTGCCTAACGTACAATGTGTAACTATACTTTTTGAATAAAGTCGATGCTGCTTTCAGCACATATTTCTTATGAATATGGAAAGAGCTTTGCCGCTCCTTTTAGCCTTGTCAATTTACACTAAACGACAAGTGTACTGAACCAACACACTTGGGAAATATTCATTGAAAATGAAAACTGAAATTCGTGTGAGTTCACCCTGTTTCTGATAACCCACAGTATCTAATGACGTATCACCTTATATAAGTGTTCGGGTATTTGTAGTGCAATTAATGTTTCCGGTAATATCGTGCTGTCTAATGGACTATATATGTACTGGTGACTGAGCAAATAATGATGAACACACCAGGGACACGACATACATGTAGCTTGCCCACGGAGTATTCAATTAAATGGATTCAAATTGCTCATCTCAACGTGCACTAATTAATTAGACCCCCTACTACAACCAACGTCAAACACAACTTGTTACAAACCTCAGCTGTGACCTTCATCACAGTCAGGTATTCTGACTAGATTTTGCCATTGGTTTACGGAGCAAACAGACCTGACGTTATTTCGAAGCTTATTGTGTCGTAGAGAGGACGTGCATACGTTTTTTCGTCACAACAACATGGATATCTTGGGGCTAGTGGACGTCCCATTGAATCTTCTTCTCACCCTTGTGGCGGCTGGCCTAATCTATATGTAAGTTAATATATGGGATGGTCAGGCTCACAGGCTTGGTTAATGCATATCATCGTACCCCAGTTGCACAGATCCATACTTAAGATGTCAGTCACTGGATTGAGTCCAGACTCGACTATTTACAAACCTAAGACACATAGCCGGGATATTGTTTAATGCAGCGTTAGACCAAACCAACAACAACAACACCAACAAAATGAATACCAAAAAGTACAGAGTGTTTCATCGGTGGGTTGTTTTTACGTTTTGAAAAACGCCTCCTTTAAACTGCGCGGCATTCAGTAATACCGGGGCACAGAGGCAAGGTAAGTGTTAGACTCAACATCAGACATTATACTTCTGACAACACAAGAGGTTAACTGAACATGAAGGAACTACCAATGGGCACAGAGTTGGTTGAGAGAAGGCGATGGTGCTCTTCAATTAGCAAAGCACAAAGCACCACAAAACTACTACGCCTACCGTCACAGGCGTTCTCTTCATCCGGCGACTTTATTTCCTGTCACTCAGCTTTAATGTATCTACTGAACAATGAATTGACGACACAAGTTGGTGAGTACGGATCTCGACAGCTGTCTTTGTTTGCAATTTCAGCGAACGAAATTTTCAACGAACTATTTTACTAAGTATCTTCCACTTTAGCTTCAACGTTTGGACAGGCATAGTTTGGACAACACTCTGTGCAGGTTCATAGTCCAATGAGCCTTCACAAAGTGAGGGTAAGTTCTGAAAGAAATGTCCCTTTTGAAGCAGTTAGTAACCAGTATAAGACAAATATTACGGATGTCAACCTCGTCTTCATTGTATACACAACGTTTCTGGGCTATCCCTTGTGTATACAATAAAGAAGAAGTTGATATCCATAATGTTTTATCCTATACTTGAATACCAACATCTATATGCCTCTCAGGAACCTCAGTTAGTAACCAATACAGGATCAAATATGTCGTCTTTGAACTGTAGTCGGGTTTTTTAATTTTACATCGTCCGCCCTAACTACCAATCTTTGAGCTGTCACTCATTTCGGCAATACTATTAAGCAAATCACCACGGTGTTTTATACCTTTTCAAAGTTGCATCCTGTACAAACGGTGTCTATTTCACAGATATGGAACCTGGGACTATGATTACTTCAAGAAGCTGGGCATTCCCGGACCAAAACCTTACCCCCTTATCGGATGCAGCATTGGATTTGTAGGTGCAGATTTAATCATTAAATCAATTATATATATATATATATATATATATATATATATATATATATATATATATACATAAATAAAATAAATAAAACAGAATGCCTTTTTCTCCAACATGTTTCGTTCTTTACTCTTCAGGGAGATATATTTATGTATGTAATATTTATGACTGAACACCTGTACTATTTTGGACATTTTGTGCGTATATATATATATATATATATATATATATATATACATACATACACACACACACGCACGCACACACACACACACTCATGAGTTTTGCATGTGAAAATGACAGTGCTTGTTAAAAGAAGCATTTCTGCAAACATTTCAGAACTGAATGTCAGTTTGTGTGTTTGCACCCTTGAAGAGATAGTTCTCAAAGTATTCCTTAACATATCGTCATTAGGTTTGAAACTGCTTTTATAAGTATAATATCAATACATTTATCAAACAAATATTAATAACAATGACAATATCATTTTAACAAACTTTCATTGTACCTTTACAGTATGACGGATTCGTTTGAACGCGTAATAATACACTGACCAACTTTGAAGTTGTGCGGCGTGGCGAACAGGAAACAGATCTCGTCGTTGCATTCTATAGCTATTTATTTGAGATTATTTATTGTGAAATTTATTGAGCAGTTGTTAAACAGTCCTACGGGGCAGAAAAACACCAGATTAACCCGCAAACTGCAAGAGATTAAAGGGTGTGTGAATACAAATAATTTTCATGTTGTTTACGTCAAGCCAGAGATTATCCTGGGAAATCCCGGAAAGTAGTTCCGGCAAAAGTTCACATGACCTAGATCGGCTCGAAAACGTTCACACACGTATGAACGATGTTTACATACGTATGAACGATTTGAAGGGTTCAAGAGAAATGAAGCTTGAAATTTAGATCACGTGACCGCACTCTCAACCAGCCAACGTTCGGGAATCTGTGTAAACTTCAAAGTACGAAATTATTAAATATTTAAATGGAAACAAATGTTGCTGTTTTTTAAAAGATGAAAGCAATGATGATCAAGCATTACATAAAACTACTTAACAATCTTTTCAGCTGGGCCCGTTCATTTTCATTAATAATATGAAAACAAGCCTTTTGTGAATGTTCCGGTTTTACATTTGGGCAAACGTAGGCCTCATCTGTTCGTATGTGCATGTGCCTAGCACGTTTATACACACCTGCAAAATTAGTAAGAAACCCCTGCTATCTGTCCATCAGGTTTGGAACCTGTGGTCAGGCTCATCTAAACTGAAATATTCAACAGTCATGACAGTTTAGAAACTGCTATTCATAACACTGGTGGTCATTGATATTATTGAAAAACTGGTACGTGATATAGTTCGAGCTGCAGGTGCGCTAGACCGCTGTGACGGATAAACTGCTAGTCAATGTAACCTTTATGCACCCAACATGATAATAAGATATAATCAATAACAATATTAGCCCCCTGAACCCTCAAACCCATACCTCCTCTGGGACGTTAAATGCGTTCCAGGGTTGGGTTAAGCTATTCTCGGCACAATCCTGACTACTGTGGGCCCATCGTCTTCGCAGTGTCAATGATGACACCTGTGTCTGGCTTGACGTCAAGTTCTTCGCCGGAAAGGCGATTGCGAGTAAAAATTAAAAGATCGTGAGTTCTTCAGGATTTCGACCAAAGCGAGGTCCCTTGCAGTCTTGTGATCCCTTCCATAATTTGGACACTACGTCACCTCATTAGTGGGGTTTTGTCTCTGCGCCAATCTGCTTAAACCCGAATTGTTGTAACCGAGAAAACAGCTTTGTGGGACATTCCTGTATTAATCATATCACTACTTGCCGTCGTGTCATTCCCTATAGCATGTTGAAAAATGATTAAGAATAAAGTTCGGAATAAAATCCAATGTGATTGATTTCAGCGTCACCAGATGCAGTTTTAACATGTGGCGAGTGGTTTCATTACGCGCCAGAACCATACATCATAAATATGGATTGGTTCGTGTCATTTCCAAGATGATTTTGCCAATGTGTCGCTCGACAGTGTAACGTCTTCAGTGGACACATAACGTTTTCCGGGTGTCCATCTCAATCAGCACACGATGAAATACCTCATACTGAACCAGCTTCAATTGATTTCCGTATAAAAGTCTGAGTAGATTTCAGTGCGACGTGGCTGTGAAATTGGTGATGAGTTATAAACGCAGTATTCAGTTACACACACTCAGCAATCTCGCATCCATTCTGTAGATCAGATTCGTGGTGAATGATGGAGAAGCAGTGGTAGTCAAGTTGAAGAAAGCAGCTTCCATGACTTTCTAGCACGACATTGTGTGATACTCGATTCTGATTGGCTGATTAAAGATTAGCGGCAACAAAACTTCACGGCGAGCTCACGGCTTGAATTGGGGCGAGTCGATTGTCATACAGTAGGGTAGATCAATAATGCGCTTGGGAAAATCAAATGATTGTACTTGCTCACAGTATAAACTGTATTTTTTAAATTTATGTATGCTACTTGCTACAAATACAAGCATACTGGTTCCTCAAATACAGCATTTATGTTGTTAAAAATGTTTTATTTTGTTCATTACACAACCTGTCCCTCAATGGGACGATTCCAAGCGATTTCCAGGAAAAAGTCCCTTTCACGCATTGTGTTCTTGCGCGCCAAACAGTTCGGTTTTAAAACGCTTATAACTCGTGCTAGAATGAAGATAAAGCTACTCTGTTTTCAATTTTGCGGTCCTTTATCGTTGATTTAAATTAAACATTAAGCGGTCTTAAATCAACGATAAAGGACCGCAAACTTGAAAACAGAGTAGCTTGATCTTCTAATTCAAGCGTTAGTCATTCCCGAATTCCAACATGTCATAAACACAAAATCAGACTACAGCTCCACTTAGATACATGTATACAGTGAATCAGATTAGCGCTTGATAATGCGAAGGTACAAAATGCTCATTCGCTCACTTTCAGCAAGCCCTAACAGATTACACAATTGTCTGGACCCGTGTTTCTATACTTAAACTGTACACAATTCTAATTACAATTAAAATATCTGAAGTCATTGTAACTACAGTTTATGATATAGTGTATAAACAATCTCTGTGACCTAACCAAAATTCCGTTGCAAAGTGTAAAAATACTGTTAATACACTTCCCTAAATTTACAAAAGGCATAACTTGATATATGAACCTGCTTTCTACAATAATGTATTAAATCTGATTTTCAGAATTCAACATCCTCAAAACATATATTTCCGCAAACGTCTGACATTTCCTCTACACATGACCCTTTGAAAATGACCAATTAAAAAACATGGCTCATCAAAACGTGTCCAGTCTGAACGGATCGGTGACGCTTACACCAAACCAAATTATCTGCACATCTCACTCTTTCATCTCCTGTTTCTTATCCAATTTATTGTATATACATGCAACACTGGCTTCTTGTACGTTTAGTATATATATTGATGTATCTTGTTTGTTACAACTCACCTGACTAAGGGGCAAGGAATAGCCCAGAAACGTTTTGACATACAATTAAGAAGACGTTGTCATGCATAATATTTGCCTTTTACAAATGAAAAATATTATCGCCATTGATTTCTTCTTACAGTCTTTCTACCCGAAGTTCTTTTCCTGGAAACAGAAGTATGGAAGAGTATTTGGGTAGGTGTATCGTACAAAGTATGTTCATTATCTCATACCACCTGTAAAAACCGGGTTAGAAGGGGTTTTCAGCCACCCATGCTGACTAACGGGATTGGAAGGGTCAGGCTTGTGATTTGGTTAATGCATGTCATCGTGTTACATGTGCGTACATGTAGGTCGATGCTCGATATGTTCATCTCTGGGTTGTCAGGTAAACATTCGCATACTTAGGGACCGCCTTCATACAGCTGGAACATTGCTGAGTGCGAACAAACCTTATCCCATACACATACAAAGTAGCATGCAGATCATACACAGTACTAAAGGACGCTCTGGAATCGCAGGTGTCGGATTTTACTAACCTACATTAACTAGTAGGTTAGAAAATAGATTGTCAATGCTCAGTTCAGAAACGAAACCTAGGCTATAGGTTTCGTATAGTCCCATTCATGTTGATATTTATCAACACACACATATATCTTACAAGTACTGGGTGGTCATATTGATAAAAGTGATCCTCTTGAACATAACTTTGGTTGATGCGTGATAAAACCTCAAACTGATGCAAGTCCTGGAAGTTTAGCACTTCGTTATGATTAGAATCACAATCAGAGTGATTCTGGGACTGGAACTGATGATTACTGGGTTCTGGCACGCCTAGGGGCCGCAACTCTGCACAGTGAATTACGACGTCACGGGGCACTAGAAGAAAGACATAACTCCATTTCCTTCATCACGTGTTCGGATGCCCAATGGCCATGGTTGATTTCTATGTGTTGTTCTAAAGTATGATAAGATTGGAATATGTTAGTGAACCTATGTATAGGATTATTTGCATGAAAGCACCCCTCCCTATCAATGCAGTATTTGAAACAATCTTCTTTGTTATCGTTATCACGTTTTATCATGCATGTCTTTCAATAGGATCTTCATGGGGAAACAAAAAGCTTTAGTCATATCCGATCCGGATATTCTGAAGGAGGTCTTTGTCAAAAGTTTCAACACATTCAGGAACCGGATGGTAAGCAATATTACTTGTTAAGTAGTTTGACACTGAACAAATACTATCTGCAATACGACAATTACGCTGTTATAATACAGATTGAAAAGAGAAAGAATCGTCGAAGATGTAATCAATTCTGTTGCTCTGACGGCACGCACGATGGAACTTATGAAATAATGTAAACAATGAATGTTAAAACTTGGACAATCTGCTCAAACAATACACTTGTGTTGTACTGCGAACTAATTATAGATACAATGTACTTTTTCCCAGAGAGTCCCAATGATACCCTTTCCGTTAAACCTGGGGTTGTTTTTTCTGGACGATGCCCACTGGAAGAGAGTCAGAAGCATCGTCAGCCCTGGTTTCAGCAGCAGCAAACTTAGACTGGTGAGTCTTCCTCTGTACAGGTAAAGTATATTATAGTGTTTTATTTGTGATATCTTGTGATATCTTGTGACAATTGTGACACATCATCGTACTGAAAGGAACATGAATGGACCTTTAACAGTGAATGGAATTCCATTCCACGTGACACAAAACGAACTGCCAGGTCAACCCATGCTTTGCGATGTACACAAGAAGAGGTTTTGTTCAGTCCCATATTTTGACCTGTTTATAATGATAGGTTTGTGTTTTGTTGGCCTTCGCCTACTGGACTTGCCAATGGCCCCAGTTTACCATCCATGAGATCATTTGCCTTCTGAAACTGGCGATCTTTCAAAATGTCAATGAGCCGTAGTAAAATTCGGTGGTGGCAATTGATGGCAGGTCGGATGTTTTCCATGGAGTTATATCGATATTCGTCATCTGTGTCCGAAACAGGGATAGTTTCTGCACAGGAGGATCTAATCAGTTCTGCAAGTTCCATAGCCTCAATTCTTTGCCAGTCCGTGTTTCAAAAGACCAGTCAACAATCGAAAATGTTACTTTAAATAATTAGTCTGGATCAGATAATTCATTTGACGAAATTAGGTAATTTCGGGCAACCCGCAAAAATATATACTAGTATTTAAAACAAAACCTACCATAGAGCATTTCTTTCGGTTCAGTGTTTAGTGTTTTTAGGGTTGGTGCTCTGTGTCGTTGAGACTCAAAGCCCTTCATTTTTTTTCAGTCGTGATTTTGAATTATGGACTGGGTAGGCATGGCAACGACTTCAGGTTCTGCGTCCAGTGGATGTTAAAAGACTTTCAGAATCTTTCGTCGATAGTCAAAGATCATCATCGTCCATGCCTGTGTGTTGATCTTTCTGAGCCCTTTCCGGTTTTGATACATGAAAAGGCCAGTCTATTTGGAAACGTTCGTAGATATCCATGTTGATTTGAAGTTAGGAATAGTAGAGGATAGAATACTAGTAAGTTTAGAAAGTTTGACACATTTTCCTTATTCTGTTTTGTGTAGTAGTCTGCACAGATCATTGCTGTGTTCCTATTGATTAGTTTGAACTTGTGTTTTTACATTTTTGTAGTCTCATATATAAGTGATAACGTTTCAATTGGTCGTCAGTTTGGTTGAAATACCTCCTAAGTAGTTCTTTTCTATTCTGTAGATGTGTGGTGCCATCAACGAGTGCGCAACGACTCTCGCTAATAACTTCTCAAAGGTCGCTGGGAATAATAAAGCGGTGAATATGAAAGAGTAAGTATTGTGGTTACATGTTAAGTTGTACTGTTACTTCGGGGAACGGTTTTATTGTTTTAAAGGAACTACATACACACATTTGTGATGCATATTTTAAATTTTCTTTTAAAGCCGTTGCCGAAGGCATACAATTTACAAGATTTATAGTTTGGCATGAAATGCATGTGGACCCGTTTTTTTGTAAATATCTCTTCATCCAATGACCCAATCGATCTTAAACTGTGGATGTTTTGTCAGACAACCTAATCACGTTGTAAATCACCGATTTTATGCATTTGTATTAAAGAATTTGTCTATGTAACTGTCAACAAAATAAACAGGAGAACGCAGAATGCTTGCAGAGGGAGGGAGCCAATGACCTGTAACAGCGTCAGTGTTGGGTCATAAAGGTCAATGCACGTGCAGTTCATGATAGTTACCCGTGCACTGCACAGTGATAGACCGTTTGGATCATTCACATTGACTACTTCTAGCTGTCATCATGAAAGCTTATTCAGATGATGCTAAACGTTTAATTAGAAATGTGTTGAAATTTTTTTTAAAAGAGAGCAAACGTAGCAAACCGATTTATAAGGTGTCGGATTACATGAAACTACAACTTTTGCTCATGGAATGAAAAGAACATCGTGCTAAAAATTGTGAAAAATAAACCAACAACCAATAAACAAAATCTTGTACAAAAAGGTAGGAATCCAAAGTTAGATTTTTTTGACATCAGGGTCATCAGAGATGTCATTCGCCGGCTATTTGCAAAATTTAAAGATTTTAACCTGCAGAATAATTCTAACTAATGGGTTTTGTGGTTAATGTTGAACAACTCAGAGAAACAAACTCCGTATGATGGTTAACAGTTGGCACCCACCTTACCCCATTCACGACCTGTGACACCTCTTCATACCTGTCACGTGCATAGCTGACCTACATTGACGAACGTTGACCTTTATGACCCAACACTGATGCTGTTACAGGTCATTGGCTCCCTCCCTCTGCAAGCATTCTGCGTTCTGCTGTTTATTTTGTTGACAGTTACATAGACAGATTCTTTAATACAAATGCATAAAATCGGTGATTTACAATGTGATTAGGTTGTCTGACAAAACATCCACTTGCACAGTTTAAGATCGATTGGGTCATTGGATGGAGAGATATTTACAAAAAAACGTGTCCACATGCATTTCATGCCAAACTATAGTATTCTTTATTTCAGAATTTTGTTAAACAACTGGCTTTGTTGTGTTTGTGACGGGTGCCAGAGATGCTCCAATATACACTGGTCTGTTTGCGAACAGTTGCTGTTACTACCATGTTATAGTGATTCATAAGCCCATGATTATGATAGTGTACAAAGGAAACTGCTTTTAAAGGAAGTTTCTTATGAAAAAAGTTTTGACTTTTATATGTTCAATTATTTGCGTTAGAAGGGATGTCTTTACGCCATATATACTGTGTATAAAATTAAAGAAAACTTTGTCTTCATGATGAAACCAATCAGTGTCGGTGCTACAAGTAGGGCAGGTCATGCTTAGCCTTTTCACGCAAACTTTGAGTCAGCACTAATGTCCTGGGTCCAACCATGGAACTGTCAGCTATTTTGTGCCTTTCACTCCATAAATATTGTTCCGTCGGTTAATCGTGACTGGTTATTCTCCGGCGTTCATCTATGTGAGTAAAAACACCTTCCAATGATTTCAAATACAAAATTTCCAACCGACCTGTGAAGATCCTGGTTAGAATTGATCTTCAGCAGCCTGTGCCTGTAGTAAGATGCGACTAACAGGGTGGGTCAGGCTCGCTGACTTGGTTGACACATGTAATCGTATCCCAATTGCGTAGATCGATGCTCATGCTGTTGATCACTGGATTGTCTGGTCCAGCCTCGATTATTCAAAGTCCGCCGCCATGTAGCTGGAACACTGCTGCGCGCGGCGTTAAACAACAAACCAACTAACTAAAATCCTATTCTAAACCATGAAAATGTATCTATAATAGGGGTTACTTTGTTTGTAAAGGTAACTATAATATTGTACCTGCGTGCTACTAACGGTATCGGATGGTCAGGCTCGCTGACTTGGTTGACAGGTCATCGGTTCCCGATTGCGCAGATCGATGCTCATGCTGTTGATCACTGGATTGTCTGCTCCAGACTCGATTATCTACAGACCGCCGCCATATAGCTGGAATATTGCTGGGTGCGACGTAAAACTAAACTCACTCATTCACTCACTGCATGCCATGAGAAATTCCACACCATTTCCATTTTCAATACATTCAACCTCCTCAACATTTGGTTAAGTACATGACTGACAGGATGAAATGTCTTGTGGGCAGGCAACATAGTGGCGTCACACAGTTTTCACATCAAGGAGATGACGCTCAAATATTAGGTTCCCCACTGTGACTAGCCACACGGTAGGGTTGTTGCTCAAAGCAGTGGCTGATGTACATGGTTCAGACTGGACTGTTATCAGGCCGCTGGAGTGACGTCGACTGAGTGAGTGAGGAAATACCCATTTGTTGACTCCTCAGATCATCTTCGCCTTGGTTAACACTATCATGTGTCACAAAAAGCCATGAGTTCTTGTGAGTAGTATAACCAATAATAATTCATAATATAATTAACTAATAAATTATCACGAGTTACTTTAACGTTATCCCTTTCAGATACTTTGGAGCTTACGCCATGGATGTCATTTCACGAACTGCCTTTGGTGTAAAGGTTGATTCCCAAAACGACTTCCACAACCCTTTTGTTGCTAATGCTCAAGAGATATTTAAACATACCAAGGAGCGAAGATTATTGCCGATAATAGCAGGTAATGTGCCCCTCACCTTGTTGAAGTTGAGCATACATGATAGGTTTTGTGACTTGATTAAGTAGAAACACTGTTTTACCATTTTTACGAGCATGCTCTCAGCCTGGCATATACATCAGTTTATCTACCGTTTCTTTCAATGATACATCTGATTCTTTTCTCGTGGTGCACTACAAAGGGTTTGAGTATTTCTTCAGAGGTGTTCCGTCAATGTTCACATTTATGGATGTACTAATGTCCTCTCCTCTTTCAGGTTTAATGCCGAGACTAGCACGGGCCTTAAGGAAGCGCGGGTTTGGAATCTATCCACAACGCGTCATGACATTTTTTCAAAGAAACATCACAGAAATGATAATACAGCGGAAACAACGAACGATGGAACAGCGAAAGGTTATATTACAGATGATAGTGTTGTCATCACAATAGTAAATCCTGTTTCGGGACAGTCCTAAAATTGTTTGAGTACCAAATCTGGTCTTGAAATGCAGATTAGCACCATGGCTATACAAGTGCAGATTAGTTCCTTTTAATTAACTGGCTACTTAGTTCCATTTGATCCCTATATCATATATACAGTGCATCTATCGGATTATAGGTCAAACACACCTGGCCACAAGACAAATATTTGAAGGATTAAAACAACAACATTTGCATCAAAAACAGACAGACGACATCCTGCAACGATTGCTTGACCCAGCATTAGACGCACTTAGAGACGACAATGGTTACGCTGCAAATCGAGAGAAGTCCAAGAAAGATACAATCAGAGGTAAGTAGAGACATACGCCACGGTTAGTAAGTTGTTTAACACCATTTTGGACAGATCAGCAACTGTATCAGTTATTATGTTGCAGTGTAATATAGTGTGCAACAAAGTTCCAAGTGAAAAACATGATACATGTGATTTGAGGGCCAATGGTGTGCTGTATTTAGATTGTGCTATATGTAGACTTGTGCTTCAACCCAATCACCAGAGACACTGAAACAACGTAGAAAGATCTGGAAGGTGCTGCATGGAGCTTATTCCTGAATTATTTGTCTTAGTATAGAATTTTCTGGCATTGGTTTCTTAGGAAAAAGGGAGCTGCTAACTTCCTTTTATTTCAGTCTACAATATGACCATCATTTTGTGCGATCGTTCTCTACCCTGGGATAGTCCATTTATTGGTTTGTAAACTTAGTTAATTTTAGAATGCATATGTTGATTACATCATATCTCTTCATTGTTTGTTTCACAAGAAGTTCCTTAAAGGACTGATTCCGGATGAACTTTAAGTTTCAACAAGCAACACACTATATATCCTATACTTCATGCATGTGCCTGCAGCTGATGGTAGGATCTATTCCAGAAATGTCCTGAATGACCCTGTATGACATGACATCATTTGCGTACTCTGTAGTACAAGAGTGACACCACTGTCGCCATTTTCAGGTCTATCGACAGATGAAGTAGTTGGCCAAGGCATAAATTTCTTTGCTGCTGGATACGAAACAACGGCGTCAACACTGACCTTTGCGTCGCACAGCCTCGCGGTGAACCCGGATATCCAAGAGCAGGTGTACCATGAAATCAAAGAAATGCTTGGAAATGTCAGTAGGAGTCTCTTTACCAGCACCTTGGTAGATCTGATAATGGCTATTATTAACATCATCGTAACATCAGAATATTGACGAATATCCTCGTAGCAGACTTGCGCTTGAGAGATACTTCAAAAAAGTATAAAACCTTTCCATTGTCGACAGACATGTCTACTGACTGTACATATTTAGTGCTGGTAGCTTAACAATCACCAGCCCACTAAATCAGCCGCGGTAGCTGAGTGGGTTAGATGGCTGACTTTGTGTGTTGGCGATTAGGTGCCTGATTCTCAGGGTGTTTGTTCGAATCACAGATGGGACTAAGCCAAACAAAAGTACTAGAATCTGTACTTTACTGAGAAAGTGTAATCCCACATATAACATGTTACATTTGTCCACATTCTAAATGGCATTGTGTATTCACCGTTAGCATGTATATATCACTATCAAACCAATATATTTAACGCTCAGATGAATACTACAGTACATATTTCAGCGTGACGACATAGTTCAATATCATTAATACGCAGTGTCAGACTTATAAGGCATTTGACAAATACATCATGACTCTTAAGTCTTTTCAAAGCAACGCGACAGGTGAGTTTACAGGTGTACGAGCGTTAAATGAGATTCTGTTTGAAGAACTAGATAAAGCAGCAACAGTCAGACTCTAGTCTGTTTTCCTACAGGAGGAACCAAACTACGACAACATTGGGAAACTGAAGTATCTGAACAACGTCATCACTGAGACGCTCCGACTCTTCCCACCAGTTATTGCGTGAGTTTAAAGAATCGAAACATACAGTTGTTTCCCTTTACAGATGCTTTTCGAGACTCATACCCTGAATAGGATAGGCTTTCACAAACGTTGTTGTGCTCATAGTCAGATTGCTGTCATCTGTATTATTGATAACTTTGAAGTAAAACTGACGACAAAATGATCAGCATGTCCTAGCCTACCTTGTCTGTAACACCCACCTGGTTAACTGTTAACTGTTAACTGTTACCTTGATTGTACCAACTCTAGTTCGTGTACACAAATGAAAAAGTGTCATTCAGACTTGACATACATGCTTTTTACTATGTGTTTAAGGTTACATCGCAGAGCGTCTGAAGCTATTCAGATCAAGGGGTTGACAATCCAAAAGGGACAGACTATCTTTATCCCCGTGTTTGCCATGCAAAGAGACCCTGAGTTCTTCAAGAATCCATATTCCTTCAGTCCAGAAAGGTAATGCGAACCGCTGGACATGGCTAACGAGGGATATTGTTATAGAAACCATCGCACATAAGTTCCAATCAGGGAACGGTTTACTGAAACAACATTCGCGTTCTGAAAACATGGCCACTGCGATGACAACAGCCGTCATATGTCTATTCACGTGGAAATTATTTCAACAGTTAGGCAAAGAAAAAGGTTTACACTTAACTCGCCCAAGAACTTAGTGCTTTTATATATTTGAATGCAAACTTCATTCTATTCTTAATAAGAGAATGCCAGGGGCTTACACATGAATTTTGCTAAAAAAAATGAAGTTTCTAATTCTTGCAAAAAATACCTCATATGCTATCTAAATATAAAGCCTTGTAACCTATCGGGTTTACACGACAAAATAGCTTGCAACGCGCCTGCATGCTGATCGCGGTGACTAAGATTCAGTGTCAGGTTTAGACCACCCATGCTAAACGTGTCATGTTACCGCGCTGTCCAGTGTTACTTCATAGTGTATTGTCTGTAATACTGCAACGAGCTGGACTTAAGTACTTCCCGTGGATATCCTGTTTTCATCACATGGAGCAATTACTTGGCATTAGTGTAAACTAGACAATGTTATAGGCTGGTGGACACCGTCTCCTAGTCTGACTCACAGTCCCTCATTATGTTCCCTGCAGCCTAGTCCTCCCTGCAATGCAAAGCCCTAAATGAAGCAAGTCTAGATTTCCCCAGGTTCAGGCTGATTCTCTGGCCTCTCTGGGGCTCCTTTTCAATTTTAATGGGTTTATTTGTTACAATCAAAATTATATATATTCAGAGACTAAGCGTTAATCTAGCCCTTTCCTCAAGGAGATGGCTCGGACACTAGCCACAATGTGTGACGAACCTCGTTATCTCGAACCTTGTTATCTCGAATGTACCAATATCTCGACGATATTTTGTGGTCCCGAAGCACACTGCATATAATAATGTGTCCATTTATATAGCGCCAAACTCCACATTAGGTATGCTCATAGCGCTAACAATCAATAGCACTGCACATTGTTACCCCGTATAACCCAAGCTACCCGTTAGGCGCTAGAAGCCACATTACTTTTTCCACCGGGTACCCATTTTCCTGCTTGGTGAACAGCATAACTTATATATTCGCCCACTTTACGCCCGGAATCGAGATCAAAATAAAAAGCGCGTCCAAACTACGACTTTACAATGGATATTTGTATCTATATCCTGAAGTTAGCAGTTGGAAGACAAACAGTTGTGGGAAACGAAAATGATATCTAGTACCTTTTCCCACACACTGACATCGTTGAAACGTATAGTGCGTATGCCTGTCTATGATAATGTTACTTCATCTCTCTATGTGCTTTAGCCTCGTTGTCTGAAATGACCGGACATGGTGAAGTTTCAACACCGTCCCGCTAAGTATGAGACGATGTGGGTTCCACTTTACATGTGAGATCTGAACTGGGATATTTGATACTATCGATGATGTCTGAGGTTATTTCTCGTTTTTATTTTCCAGACATGATGAACACTCCCATCCGCTTTCCTTCCTAGCTTTTGGGTACGGTCCGAGGAAATGTATTGGGATGCGTCTAGCTCTGATTGAGGCTAAAATAGCCCTGGTTCATCTTCTGAGAACTGTGAAGTTTGAATGCTTGCCAGACACACCGGTATGATTAATTCCTATAACATCATTCATGGTCTTCACCACCACAATTCCAGTCACAACATCACTCCTTTTCTTTAACCTTCATTGTTAGCTGTGAGAATAATCGCTCAGAATCTGAGCTATATTCATTGTCGTAACTATAAGACTGAGGACCCTTACCGATTCTATCATCCTCAGTAGCAAATGTACTGTAAGTCCCCATGGTCCCTAGTATGGTGATCTGCCTTCAGCTGTTGGGTTTTTATATTGTCCTGTCATCTATAATTGAATTGTTTTAAATTGAATTACTAGTTTAATTTATATCTGTGAAAATCTAGTTGTTTTACTGTCTTTCGTTGACAAGTGTTTTTAAATTTACCTTTAATTATTATAAATCTATAACTTGTTTTAGTCACGATATGGCAGAAATATTGCCGATGTGACTTTAAATCTTAACTCCCTCACTCACTATCATCACAGTCACGTCCAACACTTAGTGATGCTGCTGGAACATTCACCTCATATGGTGTTGATTTCAGGGGACGTGTATTTAAAGCATCCAGACGGGCATTGAGAAGCTAAGCTCTCACGTGACCTTTCAGTACAATCATTTTGAATGTGTATTCTCCTGGTTTAGGTATCAATAACTGACTGAGTGCCTGTTTTATTATCATACTCATCCCTACCTGCACTTCAACATGATATTATGAGCAGTGAGAAGAATGTAGTGGATAGCAATCATGTCCCAAACGTGTTTCATTCCATTGAGCATGTTAAGATCAGACTACCCTAACTTCATAACTTGCTCTTTCGAAAGTCCTTATAGGCTAAGGGTCATGAATGGACAAAATCAAAATACTACTTTGTGTAATATATACTGACGTAGGAAAGAAAGTAAATACTTTGTTCTGTTAGAAAAAACCCATACGTAAATAGTTTGAAAAAAGGTACAAGTTACAAAGATACGTTGCCACAACACCCAGAGATATCGTACTCAGTTGCGAAGTTACCAGCGGCTCACGTTCCTAGCCCGACGTAGACGGTTTAGTCGATGTTGACGGGTTAATGACATGCCCCGAAATGGTCGATAGGTCCTGGTGCAAACAGCACGCAGTTGTCTCATCACTGTGTTGCTTCTGATTCGATGACCTGACACTGTTGATGCTGATGGCGTCACTGTCAGCATCCGGTTGCAAAGATGGAAAATGCGCAGGTGATTGTCATCTTGCCGGGTGGTCATTCTCGGTCTCCCAGTTCGAGGACTATCAGATGTCTGACCCGTCTGGTTGATGCGTCTCTTTAGTCTGATGATAGTCTTGTACAGCCTAACGTTCTGACAATATGGCCGTTCGAAGCCTCAATCTGCGTCTAATGGCTCGTCTCTCGTTCCGCCGCTGATTACTTTGGCATTTTGGTGTGTTCCTCCAGCAAACAATCACCAGGGGCGTAGCTACCATCATAAAAAAAGCCAGGGCTTACACATGATTGTTGCTTCAAAAAGGTTGGGCAAGCCCTCAATACTGTCTAAATATATTAAAGCGTTTCAACCTATCGGGCTTACACGAAACAATTGTCTTGCTACGCGCCTGATCACAATCGACTTTGTTTTATACTGTTCGCTCAAGACACAATCACGATTTTCATGATATTCCCTTCACAGAACTTGAAGGGACATCTGTGTTGTTTTGGCAACAAGTACACAATGTTTGTAACACTGTCAAAACATTTTCAAAACGCTCTTTTGTACGTCAGTGTTTTGTGTTCAGCGCTGACGTTCCATTGAGACATGTCTATAAACGTCTCATAAACGGCAAACGTGGACTTTAAGAAGACTATTGGTATGCTGTTGTCTCTACAGGGGAAACTCGAAATGTAGTTACTCTGGCTCGTAAGGCATTCTTTCGGTATTTCTCAGAATATGATGCAGTGATTAGATATGGCAGCATCAAATTCATCTTATCATCATAATATTCATCTTATCATCATATATTCATCTTATCATCATATTCATCTGATAATCATATATTTATCTTATATTTCCATCTTATCATATAATCATTTTATGCTCTAATGACATCATATTCCTGACATGCTTTCATGAAATAGACATGATATGTCATCATGACATATTTACGATATTCTTTAATGACTTTCATATCCATTGTTTTCTTTCCTGATATCATATTACCTCATGACCTATCTAGGACGTCTCAGTGTATTGTGGGGCGGTGGGGTAGCCTAGTGGTTAAAGCGTTGGCTCGTCACGCCATAGACCCGGGTTCGAATCCCACCTTGGTACAATGTGTGAAGCCCATTTCTGGTGTCCCCCGCCGTGATGTTGCTGGAATATTGCTAAAAGCGGCGTAAAACCAAACTCAGTCAGTCAGTCAGTCTGTGTATGGTAACTATTTTCTTCAACATGATACACATAATCACTGTCATTCTGATATGACTTGTATACCGCGCACTGATTGTATGTTTATGTACTTTTTCAGGAGGTTTTGACGTTTAAGAAAACCAACTTTCTTCAAACTGACAAGGAGATAAGATTGAAATTATCTTCGAGATGCTAAATTTTCAATGATAGACAGAACGTTTTACTTTATCTTAATCATTTGAATTAATAACATCTTAAATACTATATTAACATAATGACAGTGCTATTTCGCATTTGAATTCATGTATTGTCTGATAAAAATGTACATGGGCATCTCCAAGTGTCGGTGTTCTGTATGCCATAAAGTGCTGTACCTAATAAATATGAGTGCTACTTCGAACGATCTGGATTATGTTTGTTTCTTTATTCTGTGGGTGACGGGTGGGCAGGACATGCTTACCCCTTACAGTTCATACAACCCCTTAACCAACCCAGACTCTCCAGACACAAAGTGTCGAATTGGAGAGGCGCACTTGTAAATCCACATGAATCCTCTAACAAAACCGCACAGTTTGCTGTTACTCCTCAGAAATTGGCAAGATACCATCCAAAATAAAAGCTTGAAGAGCACCAGTATCCCCCAAAGCTGTAATGTAGTTAACATTGGGACTGTCGCCTTTACATTGGAACGAAAAACACGCGTTCATCTCTCGCACCAGACTTGATGCCTTGTCTACACTAGCTACCTCTTCATTAGCCGAACCACAAAAGAAACGTTTAAGGAGAGAGCGTTTTACACCCATGTGTCAAGTGTCATGGACATATCTATAAGTGGGCTCTCATGCAAATCAAGATGTATCTGAAACTGAACTGAGAATCAGACTTAGAAATGTTAGAACCAGAATTGTGGACTGAATGCATTTGACGGCTTAAAACTAACCCCTTTGAGGAAGCGAATAATCATCGGCCAAAGTAGCTGTCGGGTGTAATGGATTCGTTTTCTGCACATCTGGAAGTCCTAACCGTCCCGGACACAATCCTCAAGAAACGCCAACAGCCGTCAACCCATTACAACTACCATTGCTCTCCTTAGAAGTAACACCATAAATCTAGCAAACGCCCTTAGTTTTAGCCGTAAATACATTTCATAGCAGTATGATCCTTAATTCTAAACTGTAAGAAACCCTCATAAGATTAAAGAAGGGTAGAAGAAGTCCAATATGCATGAACAGATCAAACAATCTATCAATGTTCTAGGTTCAGACATAAAAGATATAAGTCATAATACATAGACATAAGTCTGTGAATATATTAGGATCAGCGGAAGTTCTTATTGCCTAATCCAAAGTTCCCTCTCACCATTTATAACTTTCTTTCACATTTCAGTTGTTTCATTGAATCAACTGATTTGAATTTTTGCTTGCTTAAACTGGGTATGACCGGCAAGTGTGAACATTAAACCAAAGGGGCGAGAATATCAGTGATTAACTGAACATAAAATAAGAAAATATCACATGTGAAGGTTCTTAGTTTTATTAACAAATAACAACGTCAAATACATATACACGGGTGCACAAAAGAGACAATAAGTAAGTATGTGGTATCTATTATGAAACGTAAGACATATAGAAAACCATACAAATTTCACATCATCAATATCGCTGCAAAATAACCATTAACTAATAAGGGTAATGGGATGAACGACGTCACCTCATCATTTAGTTACTAAATATTTGTAGTTATCAGAGCTATTTCTGATAAATGCTGCTTGTTTGTCCTGTGAGTTTAGTTTTACGCCGCTTTTAGCCATATTCCAGCAATATCATGGCGGGGGACACCAGGAATAGGCTTCAGACATTGTACCCATACACCGTGAGTGGGCATGTGCATGCCTCTATCATCTCACATAAGTTCCAGCGGTTACTGACGATCACATTGTATTGTCGAAGCTGTTGCAGTATTATAAATAATACTCTTTATTTCCTACTGTCTTCATTTATACATAGTAGACAATGTAGAATTTCAGCCACAATTTTCACAAGTTTGGTGTACACTTCGGTTAAGGATCATAGTACATGTGTATATACAAAACATGCGTTTGCCATCTCATTACCACCTCTATTGCATCCGACCAGGCACCCATTCGCTGCAAACAGAGGCTTGTTCATATTTCAAGCAAGGTTGCTGGCATACCAGTATGAAAATAGTGTCATCGACAACACATATATTTATTGATATTATTCCGCATATCACCGTTTTCATCATTTCCAACCACGTGTCAGATCTTGTTTTGTGAATCATCACGTGTTAACATCTTGGTGAGATTTGGTGCCTCTCAGCTCATTCCCGTGAAGATCCGAGTTAAAATTGGTCTTCAGCAACCGATAGTTGTCCTGGTTCCCGGTGTTAACGTGCACGTCACGCCCCTTGATCGAGCATTAGATGCGGTGATTTATTTATATACAAACACACTAATCAACACAAAACAACGCCACGCCAATATCACCACCATCTCGACCACATCCGCAATCTCCATCACAGCAAAATGCAGCTCCACCATCACATCCACATAGACAACAATAAACACTTACACAAAATCACAACTATTTATGTTACTACCTAGCTGTAGCCAAATGGAACAAGTAGTAGTAGTAGTAGTAGTAGTAGTAGTAGTAGTAGTAGTAGTAGTAGTAGTAGTAGTAGTAGTAGTAGTAGTAGTAGTAGTAGTAGTATAGGGATTACAGACGTAGTGAGTTGCGGGCTATTTCACAAGGGCGGATCACTTTTCACTTTTGTTATTAACCGACGGTCGTGCTTCTATAAACGTTGGAATACTTCACAGACAGCATATGTCTGAATGTCCTTTCAGCCCTAAGTGGATAATCCGGCAGATACCGTGGAGACCACCGTTTGTTTCGAAGACGAAGATTCGTCAGATGTACTGGGATTAGATTTCTTCTCAACATGTTCACATCCGAACATGTTCTTGGCTGTGGCTAAAAACTTCTGACTCATCAACATGTAGATGACGAAGTTGCAGGACGAGTTGATGATCTCTGTGAAGACGTTGGCGGCGGTGAGGAGGATAGCGAGGTTGTGGTTCTTTCTTCCAACGTGGATATCAGTGATCACGTGACGAACGATCATGAGAATATTTCCTGGAGTCAGACAGAATACGTACAGACAAGAAATGGCAACGAGCATCTTTGTCAGCTTCTTCTCCTGCGCGGAGAAGTCCTTCTTTCCGGATCCGGTTTCAGATCGCCAAGATTTCTGCCTTCGAAGGGTACAAATGACAGCGATCGTTGACAGTGCAACGAGATAACAAGGGATCTGCCGCAGTGCAATGCTGAGAGCAATGTCACCATAGCATTCGAAGGCTCGATGGTTCTCTTCAAACATCTTGGTGGTCTCGAGATGGATGCGCGTGCGGTTGATGCTTGTGTCGTACTCCCAGCGAGTTTTGTACACGCAGAACATCGGCGTGATTAGTAGCGCGATGATCACATAGACGCTGATGACACAGGATCTCATCCGCTTGGCCGTCAACCAAGTCTTCGCCTGCAACGGTTTCAGAACAGCGATGCATCTCTCGATTCCTATAACCATAGTGAGAAGGCTGGTGACGCGACCGAAATACACAGAGATGAAGTGTCCTTGCGGATGAAGTAGTGCAGCCCAATTCTTACCGATGACCTCGTCCATCCTTGTCACAAGACATGACGCCTTTTCCATATAAGTAGTGAACAGGAACATAGTATCTGAGACAGCCAGAGCGAAGAGGCAGATGTTGGTCTTCTCCTTGATACCTTGGCGTATGAATACCAGCAAAGTTATCACGTTCCCGATCAGACCGAACAACACCACGGGTGGCACCAGGCCACAGTCAATGATAGTCAGGCCTAAGTCTCGTTGTCCTGCTGTGATGATGTTATCGGGGTTGTTCCATGGGATGTAGGATACGGCGTGGTGGTCGTCCATGTGTTCCTCGTGATGGTCGTCCGCGACCTCCACGTGGTCACCATGGTGCCTATGATCAAGGTCCCTGTGGTGATCCATTGCATGTGTCACATTTTCGAGTATCTCTCCGATCACGTGACTTCCGGTTACAAGCACGGATGTAGTTACGTTGGCGATAGACGAAGCTGTGTGCGACATCTTTAATAGCTCAAAAGTCTGAAAAAGAGAGGAAAGCTTAAACTGAAGATTGTACATTGACTTCAAATATAGTCTAATCATAAAAGTAACTACGACTACAGATATTCCATTATTGTGTTCAAGAATGTTATCTATTAAAAACTGAGAAACGTGGGAAAGAAGGATCGATCATAGCTTCCGATAAGTACAGGGTCAAGTGTGCCGGTATTGGTCGAATTCATAAAATTCCCTCGATAATTCTTTAATTAAAAAGCAATCAATACTTCGGTAATTCAGGATATTCGCGTTGATCTATTCTATTACTGACATAGGAGATACTGGGACAGATAACAACACGTATTTGATATGGACACCTTTTTAACATTGAAGAAGTAGTCATCTATACGAAAGGTTCGTCAGGTTATTCTTCCATAAACGTATGCTGTGATTACAGAAGGACAGTGTGTCAAATCTACACTCAAGACACAAGGACTTCAGTTTCATTGGCCATGATAATGCATCGTCAGGTGTTATAAACAAACCCATGTGCAAGCGGTAATAAATATAATCGTCATTGCCCGTGTCACGACAAGCACTAATAACTGGAGCGCAATGTCTTTGGCAGGTGGAAGCCTAGATTTGAAATAGTTCTCTCTACTCCGAACCCAAAGGCTATTTTTCAAGAAAAGCTTTATATATAATGTATGATGCTTTGTAATGCGTGGAATTCCTGTTGCTTGGATTATAACTGCGTGTTACATAAACTTTGTAATAAAAGATGAAGTAATGCGCACAGGCAAGGGTATATTTGGTTGTGATATCCCTACAAACATCGGGACGAATCTGGTATTCGAACCCTTCGAAAATGGGAAATTGTCCTACCCGGCTAGTGCAAGGCTATACGAGGAATTACGTCGTGATATTTGACCAGGCCACCTGTTTTCCCTGGACCCTTTGTAAACTCGTCACTGTGAAAACATTTTCTTACATCATTTCATTATGTCCCAGTGTATTATAACAGCTTATTATTGGAGGAAAGCCATGCAGGTCCTCCTATGTGTAACACGTTGAAATAGATGACACAGCTAAGGAACGCAACTGGTCCGGTAGTTGTTGCACCGTGGAAGACTGGGTGACTTCGCTAGATGTTTCTATCTAACACAATAATTATTCCGTCTGTTCATTCAAACGGTCATATTTGTACTCATGACTCAGAGAGAATAACAACATCCCTATTATAGGTTAGAATGATTACGCTTGTTAAAGTG